AGTATTCACCGTAGGTCAGACAGACAGACAGACAAAATTAACTTAGAATCTTGCATACAAGTGCATCGGTTTACGTTAACACACTTCACAGAAGTATACAAACAACAAGTTGAACAAGTAGGAAAAACTGATATCAGAGTAGTCAGAGGTGTATGGGATGAGAGAAAATTTAAAAATTGAGATTGACAAAATATTCAAGATTTGGAAGACGTCAAAGAGTGAACATATCTGCATTATCATTACCGATTAGAAGTTGAGGAAGTATTGGTGATTAACTCGTACGCTTCTTGAACCCCTTCATTCCAGTAGAGAGTTGAGAGTCTTCTCAAAACTGAAGGTAGAGACTTATCTCCAAAATGTACAAATTAACCTTCGAGCTACTTCATGTTTGTAGTCTGGTCGACAAAATATAAAAACTCAACAAAGTCAACAAACTTATGATAGAATAAGGTACTCCTCCACTCCTTAACTTCTACTTGTTGATAATTTGATAGTTATCTTTGGATAAGTAAACATGTACCTTATATTTTTGTCGCTTATGTAATGAATTTTAAATGCCAAAATAACGCTCAGAAGTGCAAGATAAGTGAAGTCTGCTTCATGAGTAGGCAGACTACCTCGTTAATCTGAAGACCGGCAGTAGAAGTATAGAATGTAAACAGAATGAATGAGATTATTGTTATGTTTAACTAACCGCAGTGGATAGTTAGTTAATTTTTATTCGTAGTTTGTACCATAACGGGGGCCTGCTTGAACCTTGGGTATCAAAATTTTCCACAGAACATACATATAACAACGTTTTTCCCTTCAATTTGTTTTAAATATATCTTCAGAACTTATAATGTACTCTTGCACATTTTTAAAATGCTTTCAGCTCGCCGTTTCTTGAGTCAGTAACGAAACAAAGAAAAAGTGTCATGTTATATGGTAGCGCACTTTTTAGTTTACAAACTGCATCACATTTCTATCCCTCGGATATTTAGCTTCAGTTGTGAATTCTTGTACTGGCTGAATGAACAGCCACCATCAAACTTAGGCTTGCTTTTCTGTTGATTATTTATTATAAACTGGATGCTAATGCAAAACCAGCTAGCTGTTTCACATTATTACATTGAATACTGCAATTATTAACCTCACTCAGAGGCGGTAAACATAACGTTTAAAAATATTGTTCTGTTGATGAACTTGTTGAAATATAACATGCTAAGGATCCTGTACTGTATCATATATATGCTTTGGAATAAAGCCATTATTATTCTTACTGTTATTATCATGAATGTAGATGAGTTAATTGCTGAATAAAATGAAATATGCTTAATAAAACTTATGAAGGTAAAGGCAGTGTAACTGAAAATGTGGATATTGCTACCGGTCTAAACTTGCAGATATTTAATGAGAATAAAAACTGGTCATTGAATAAATAATATGGTGTAAGTGGAATCCGATGTGTGTGTGTTTATTGATGTTATCATTGATTTCTGCTAATTCACTAAATGAGATAACTGGCGACTTTAAAGGCCACCACAACAATTACCAAAGTAACCAAACAGGCTGCGGTATTTTGGTTGGGAAGACAATTTTTCACAGAACAGAGAAACATGATCGGTTGTTATATCAGTTGCTAGGATGACCTTTAAGGTCCAGCGAGATAAGTGCATCACTAGTCGTGTGACTATCTGAAAGTGCATAAGCAATTTGAGTCGTTCTGAATGCCGTCAATGGTGTAAAGCTCCTGAAGTTTTCCAGTAATTCGAAATTTCACATGAACTAATTTGTTTTTTACAGATTTCCACTTTTAATTCTATGTTAACGGTCTAGAATGATTTACAAAGATGCATAAATCTCCCTTTAGAAACTAACAGTTAACAGTTTTTACTCAAAATGCTTATTGGAAGGCTGAGTCAATATTACGCCATAAGAGGCTTATTTCTATATAAATTTAATTTCTTCCTGACACCTTTTTAAAACTACTTCTTGAAGGTACTTCAGTAATTCTGAAAGACAAGTTAAATTTGGAAGTTTCAGATATTTACTCTGAAAAAGCAGATGAATAGTGTTGGAGTTTTTCTACATTATTAGAATAAAAGTAGTTTGTAATCAGGCTGTTGACAAAAGAAATAAAGTCAAAAGAAAATACATTAGATTTTCATTACAAACAAGTTTCTGTCTAGAACTAAAGTTAAAATTTTGGAAATCGCCCTAACAGCTCATCCGAGACTAAGCAATTGAGCTCTTTGAGAATTCATGTTTATCAGATTACTGTAAATAACTTAGTTTGCTCGATATTGCTTTGCCAAATATCAGGCTGCTGTTAGCATGTTTATAGTCTAAAGAAGTTACAATGAAGCTATCATGACACTGTCATACGCTCCTGACTAATATCCCACATTAAAATATGTAATGCTTAAACAGCATCACCATTCATCTGAATCAAATAAGTGTTCAAATCGAGATTGTTGCAGCAGCACTTGAGAAAACTGAAGTACCATAATTTTCTAAGAATGTTGAGTGTCTGATTCCGAAGATGACTAGGTCACCCTTCTAAATACTTGAGGAACAAATTTCAAATACACAATATGGACATATTACTGTAGAACTTGAAAAAAAGCTACTGAAAAGAACAAATTTAATTCATACAAATGTCTTTTGGGTACAGTAACTGTTAAAAATCTTTTAATCATTAATCGACAGCAAGAATTTAGTTTTGCAGCTGGTTTTATTCTCACTTAGTAAGTATGGACAAATAGTGATTTCTTTGGAATGTTACTTTTCTAGATTGTCTATAATCAAGGAAATGAGGAATTCTTCAGTGGCAGAGATGCTAAGCCTAGTAGGTAAGAGCTTGCAGGAAGTTCGATGGTACCGCGGGATCATCTGTCTAGATTATTCTTAACACAGACTATGAGCTTATCAAGTATTTCTTTTGAGGTGTGAGGTGGTGTGATGCGGTTAAGTTGAAATGCATCCTTTGAGTAGTCAAAAATATTTTGCAGTCATTTAGGGATCATCTGTCCAGCAGTCTAAGAAAATTACGGTATTTCAGTTTTCGTAAATGCTATCGTAACAATCTTCATTATCTGAAGAAATATATTATTCTGATGGACGGTAATGCTGTTTAAGTATAAAACACTTTCAATGCAACACATTTAATAGGACTTCATGTCAGTGTCTAAATAGCTTCATTGCGACTAATTCAAACTGTATTTGCATTAAGAACAGCCTAATATTTTTCGAAGGAATATCAAGCAAACCAATTTACTGACAGTTCTCTGACAAAGGATACTGGACATTTCACCTGCACCGTATTTACAGTTAGAATGTATGTTGAGAGAAAATTTAGACAATAATATCTTCTGTTTTCTCTGAGCTTAGACACCAAAGCTCAGAAAAAAGCAAAGCTCTTTCATATGCATCCAGAGCTATAAGTCTTAACTATCATTTTAAAATCTAATAAGTTATAAAACATTCAGTTTGAAACAAATCAAATTGAAATCTATTACGCACTCCAGATATTTCGTATTCCGAATTATTCTGTTACGAAAATATTACCAAACTGCTGAATGTTTATAGGATGTGACAACCCCTGTCCTCATGAAGAAATCTGTAAGACGTTTTTCGTAAAAGATACATCCAAATGTCATATAACCACTGTCGTCCGACTGAATTTTTATAAAAGATATTTCTAAAGTAACAGCTGGAAATGAAAATATTTATTTTATTGGATTGTATCAAAATAAATAGCTTTTATCAGATACTTCAGATATCAAGAGTTTTTATCAAGATTCTACTGTCTCGCAAATAACTCATCATATTGTTCTGTCTATTATGACAACAAAACAAAATGTAGGTTTATATTTTATCTAGTAATAGAAGAGTTTGTTTCATCACAAAAGATTAAAGAAGATAATATTGTTTCCCATTGTCAAATTTTCTGTCGCTTTTATTTACTCAGCCGATGAAGCCACCCAGTAATTCCATCGTTCAATGAGGTTTTAAAATAATAATGACATTCAAAAATATGGAGTCATGGTAAATTAACAGTAAAATGTACAAGGGATAAAGCCATACATGTATATTTTTATAACACTGTTCTTCATAAAAGTGATAAACAACTTATATGAGATGCTCATACCTTTGACGAACAATCAAAACGCTTTTTCGCTACCTCATAGACAATAATATTAGTTCAGAATTAATCTTACACTAGTAGCTATATCCATAGTGACAAAAATCAGAAGTTATAAAACACATTCTAGGTACTAAAGTATGTTACCCTCCATCCTTTCTGTGATATCTTTGCGACTCGTGGTTGATTTTTTCCTGCAGACTAGGTCGCAGTACCTAATATCTCTTCGTATACCAGTAACAGAGACAGTGGTTACGGTAGCACACTATTTAGGCCTTATACATTCATTTGGTTTTATCATAATGTTTTCCATATGCTATATGCAGTGTGAATTCGACTTTAACTCACTATTCACCAAGAAGTACTTAGAATGAAAATAAAACCTAGTGACAACGTCAAAGTAATAAGAACTAGAGTAAGAAGCGTTTCATCAACCTATTGAATTTCTTATTGCGTTGTGTTCAAATGGAACAATAACGCATCTTTGTATTCACAAGAATATATTCACTAACACGGTATTCAAGCACACTTAATGTGTTGAAACAAACGATAATACCTAGCTGCTCAGAGTGAAGTAAACAAAATGCTAGCCATCTGTAACTTACTGGTGGAAATTCGAATGCCTATATCAAACACCTACAAAGTATATACTCTTCACCCAGGCAACCGTTGTTAAATTAGGTCACAGATCTTAGATATAAGTCAAGAAGTATGTTATAAAGTATTTGTATTTCATGTGGATTAAAAGAATGAGGCAGCGTTTTTAGAAATTAATGAAATATTCATTGATATAAACGTGAAGCAAATTGCATCAGAGTGAAACAATTTGTTTTTTAAGCATTATAATAAAAAAAATTCTCCTTCCCAATTAAAGTCAGACTCGTTCAGATGGCTTATCTTCGATGTTGATTTCATCATTTAAAATGTTTTTGCTTTTCACTTCTTTATCCATCTACATATGAAAGACAAAAGTAGGAAAGTAAATAAATTGATTTACTTCAAAGTTATTCAGTTAGTGAGTTATTAAAGTAGCAATGCACCTAAATCCTCATAAAAGGTTGTTCTTAATTGCACTATAAACGTCTCTTGTTCCTAGTTTGATTTAGAATGGAATTATATTTATTCATACTTTACCAAGCTTAAGAGGGATAGGCTGATACATGATCATCGTTAAAAGAAAAGGAGAAACTGTGCTCTTTTACAATATTTTCAACACTGCAAAGATGATTTATTGAAACCCACTAGGATATCCATAAACTGTGTTTATTAATGTAAAAATTAGGATAGGTAGTTTAACTGTGCTACCAGGGATAGTTGAAAACACCTACAAATGGTTGTGGAAACTGCTACTATTGAATATCCAGAAAATACTGAGAGCAGATACAATTGGTCATATTTAAAGGTGGTGTTTATAGTGGAATGACGCCAGATGGTAAAGCACTGGAAACCTGGAAGTACTAAACAGTTATTTCGTCCTGGTGTGGGGCTTCTTAGCAGTGCGGACACATGACCATATCAGGCACCAAACCCACGACCTTCAGATGTCGTGACGAACGAGTTACCGTTGAGTTGCTGGTTCAATGGAAAACTTAGACCATTGCATTTCAACCCACTGGCTCAATTATAATGTGTTCACAGAAGAAACTGAATGTCCAGGTTATAACTCCTGGAAGGGTTATGGGCGTGCACTGTTGAAACTTTCCATAGTAAGGCGAAACAGTTGTTCAGTGTCCCCATGTTTTCCAGTGGCTCTTCAGCTGGTGTCAGTCCGCGATGAATACCATTTTGAAATTAGTGAATCTCTAAGAATCTCCAAACTTAATTATATTTAGGTAAACATTTCATAGATGCAGGTCATAAGGTCAAACCAATTATAGATCTTAGGTTGATTTATAAGATCTGTCAGCAGTACATAAAAATGTTGAAAATGCAAATCTATCTTGCGTGCTCAAAATACATTTCTTTTTTACCCCAACGTTCCTCGATGATCAGTATCTCTTTTCAACTAAAATGATATGGAGGAAACAATATCGCACATTTTTCCATTATACTTTTACATTTAGTCTCCAACGAACTCTTCTGAACCAGTTTTCTCTCTACACATATAAAGCTTTCTTTAGCAAATATGTAACCAAACTTAGTGTTATTGCTTGTATTACACCGTCATTGATTGGACCGAATTGATCAGTCTCTGTTGGCATATGGACTCTTGTACGCATGCCTCGATATTGCCTGTGTTTTAATTATGTATAGTAATGATGGGTGGTGGGTAGCACTGTAATCCGGGCTGCGCATTTCGTCGTAATTGGGACTCGTCAACTGGATGTACCTGCCTCCCAGTGAGTGATGTTGTTCCCACGGCGTAATACAAGCAATAACACTAAAACTATACCCGTCGCACAAGAAGTGGTTACCGGGACTCGGTGGTGTGGTGGATCATGCTCTCGCGGTTGAAGCGATCGCTCCCGAGTCGGAGTCCCGGTGGGAACAACATCACTCACTGGGAGGCAGGTACATCCAGCTGACAAGTCCCAAATACGACGAAATGCGCATCATGGATTACACTGCTATCCACTACCTATCATTAATATATGTAACCAAACTGTTCGAAGCTTTCTGAAAATATTCTTCAAATATATATATACTATCTTCCATTGTAGTATGTCGGTTTTTAAAAGCCGTTAACTATCTTAGATTATGATTTGCCATACCCAGTGGTGATTGTAAGTGTGGTTTACTATGCTGATTGTATAGTTTGTATACAAGCTAACATAATAATCGGGACAATAAAGCTGAATTAAAAATTCGTAACCTGTTTGAAAAGGTGAGTGACTTTTCACATTCAGTTAGATTCCTCTCATTTTTGTGTTTACACGTCAAAGACTGTTGTATTTTTGCTCTAGTCGGAATATTATTCAATTTCCTGCTTCATGGTGAGCCAAAAGTGTCGTAAACATTTTTGTGGTAGGGCCAGGTGCCACTTTACGGTGGCGTCTGGTATGCAGTGTAGCGAATGTAAGAGTTGGTTCCATGATAGCTGTACAAGCCTAACACCCTCAGCAGGCAAGAGGTATAGCAGCGCAGGAAGTGTCTGAATTTGTATGTTGTGCTCCTCAGATATTCACACTGTGGTAGAAGAAGCAAAAACACTTCTAAATACGGTAACTCAGAAACTGTCATCGAAAGTCAAAGCCGATAACTATGACAATGATAACGACACAGCATCCATTGATACACAGATCGTTGTGCAAAATTTTAAGAACGTCCGACGATAAGCTGTAGGTCGGGCCCGTAGACTACCTAATAGGTTTGCTGACAGCGACTTGGAAAAAACTACACCAAGCAGAGTGAAGTGAGTACCTTTTGAATCTAGCATTCCCAGGGCTGGCAGATCCAGTCTGAAAACTGTTGACCATGAGACTAGGTCTACTTCAGATGAAAGAAAAAGGAGTGAAGCGCTCTCAGTTCCAACGACAGAACCATGCAGACCGCAGGTCATACCTAGTTCAGCGACCCAATTATTGACGGAAATCATACGGAATGAGATGCAAGTCCGTTCTGAGGCTCTCAGTGTCAGAGTCACTGGACTAGGCTTTACTAAACCTTGCATACCCGACTCTGAAAAATGACAAGTAACTAAGCCCAGACGGCATGATAAGAAGCCAATAACTGTAGCCGAGCCAGCTATCATCACCCCACATAGCAAAGACAAAGCAGAGCTCCTTGACAGGTCCGTAATTTTCCACAGAGTGGTGAAAAGTAGAGACCCAGAACCACGTAAACGTTTCGAACATGACCCTGGCAAGGTACACATTTTGATAAACCAGCTTTTACCAGAAAACATGCCAGGAGTCACCCTACTCAAGATATATAGAGTAGGCAAACAGTAGACAGTCATTACTGAAAATAAGTTTCGGGTACTTAAAGTCGTGTTCAAGTCAACAGATGAGAGGAATCAGATTCTGAAGAATGCTCACAGGCTTCGAGGATCAAGAGTGTTCGTGCAAAAGGATCTGGCTCTTGCTGATCGAATCAAAAAAGGGGAGCAGCAGAAGCAGAACTAAAATCCAGACTAGCAGCTGGAGAGCAAATTCTGAAAGTATTGGGTTTTCGCGTAGTGAGGTTTTGGTCACAAATGATGCCAAAGCCTCTATGGATAGGACGGAAACTCATTTAAGTAGTCTCGATGTCTTGTACACAAATGAGCGTTGTCTTTTAAACAAGTGGACTGAGCTTACTAATAGGATAAGCAACAAAAGCCCTGATATCACTATTATCTCAGAAACTTGGTTCTCTTCTTGGATCAGTGACTATGAAACACACTTACGAGTATTCATCCCTTTTAGAAGTGATGGGTGAGCACGCAAAAGTGGTGGTGTCATCCTTTACGTTAAGAATAACTGTAAAAGCCGTAGAAACAGTTGCACATGAAAGTGGGACATATGAAATGCTGCGCTGCCGACTAAAATGCAAAAGGCAAGATGTTAACGTAGTCGTGTTATACCAAAGCCCTGAATGTGAAGCGGCAGACTTCCTCCTGAATAAGCTGACCCTCTGAACAGATAAATCCTGACGTCTAGTTGTAGGAGACTTCAAAGCACCATCAGTTGACTGGGATAGAGTAACAACAAAAGCACCACGAAATTCGTTTGACCACCGCTTAGTGGAAACATCAATTTCATTAACCCTCATACAGCGCATTAGGACACCAACTACGTGTGATCATCAGCATGTTCCATCAGTTCTGGACTTAGTATTCTCACACACAGATGATGTGTGCTTCATCCGGCACCTAGCACCCCTTGGCAAAATTGATCACGCTGTGATCATCTTCAGATTTACCGAAGATATCTTGTACCAGGCCGATGACCCAGCTAGACCCAACATATGGAAAGCAAATATAGAAGCTATCAACCTGGCATTTACTTCGGAGGACCGAACAGTCAATCCAGAAGCCTCAGTTGAAGGTGTACGGTGCTCCTTCAAACAGCCATATGCACTAGTGACCCAACCGTTCATTCCATGGACTGTCCTACGACGTAAGAAAAAGTGTTGGAGTCTTGCCACCCGCCTTGGTACACCCGAAGTGGTGAAGCATTACAAAAATGCTCGCAATAAGTGTATCGCCGCCATCCACCGGTCTTGAATATGCTTTGGAACACGTCTTGCCCAGGCTGAATCGTAACATCCGAAGAGGTTATTTTCCTGTATGAACTACAGAAATAAGACGTGTCGTGGTATACCCGCCCTAATCAATGAGACAGAAAATGACTGTTTGATTGAGGACGATAGGAAAAAAGCAGAAGCCATGGTTGGATATTTTGCTGAGGTCTTCACATAGGAATCCTCTGTGGACAGTCATTCAATAGTAGAAGCATTGATATCCAACAGAATGAACTCTGTGAATGTCAATCGTAATGATATATTTCGGACATCACGTACTCTCAATATGGAAAAATCAGCGGGAACGGTTGAGCTGCACCCAAGGCTGCTCAGAGAGCTTGCACTGTATGTAGCCGGCACATTGACTACTATATTCAAACTGTCTCTCGGGGAACGCACACTCCCCTACTACTGGAAGGATGCCATAGTAACACTTTTCCACAAGGCAGGTTCTAGGCAGCTCCCATCAAATTACAGACCGATAAGTTTGACTAGTACTGTAGTGAAAATCCTAGAAAGAGTAATCAAGAAAGCCATAGTAGTCCACCTAGAGAGCAACACCCTATTGTCTCGTTCACAGCACGGTTTTCGTAGAAATTTCTCTTGCTTGACGAACCTTCTTATAGCCAGAGTTGGGTTAAGTCTAAAGATAATAGGATACCGGTAGATGTCATTTTCATTGACTTTAGTAAGGCGTTTGACAAAGTACCTCATTCTAGGTTGCTCGGAAAACTGGGAAGTTTTGGAATCACTGGCAGCCTGCTCACATGGATAAGAGACTTTCTTGTTGGTAGGAGACAAAAAGTAGGGATCAATTCTCGACTCTCCACCTAGAAATCGGTAGAGAGTGGAGTGCCGCAGGGCACTGTCCTGGACCCCTTACTGTTTCTCACATACCTAAATGAGCTGTCGAACATCGGGAAATATCCTGTGGTTCTCTACGCTGATGATATAAAAATCTGGCGGGAAATTAGGGACGATGAGGATATACGTGCCCTCCAGGCAGACCTTAACAGCTTGTTTACCTGGTCAGAGAAGCGGCTGATGCCTATAAGTGCAGGTGAATGTGTGAGCATGCACTTGGGGTATACACACTGCAACACCTACGATATTGATGGGACTCCTTTACCGTTAGTTCTAACCCACAATGACCTAGGAGTCACAGTGAGTTTTGACTTGAAAACCACGACTCACCGTCAGTTGATAGCAGCTCGGAGTTGTAGGACTCTCTGGGCACTACGTGGAACTTTTACGAAAATAGGTGGTGACATGTTCACCATCTTATACATCCTTAGTTAGGTCTAAATTAGAAAACTGTACACAGGCGGCTAATCCTTGTCTGAAGTGTGAGGCAGACCTTCTAGAAAGAGTTCAGAGCTCAGCCACTCGTATAATCTCTGCGATGGCTGGCCTCACGTATGAAGACCGACTTAAGGAGCTGAACCTCTTCACTTTGTCCTACCGCAGACAGAGGGGAGGCCTAATCATGCTACACAGGATTCTAAGAAATGACTTCGAACCTGGTCTATCTTCTCTTTTCCTTCCCACTAGGTCGGAACACCTCAGAGGACATAGTAGGAGACTGCAAAGGCAAAGAACGAGCAAAGTCTTCGCAGAGTACTGGTTCTCGCGTCGAGTAATGAACGCCTGGAACCGATACCCAGAAGAAGTGGTGTCCGCATCATCAATTGACTCGTTCAAAAGAGGATCGGACAAGCACAGAAATCTACTGGAAAAGGATTAATATAGGCTCCCAGCCTCCTATCCTCAAACAACAAATCTGAATCAAACACCATCCAGTCAAACGCAAGTCTGCTAAACCATGGTTATCTCAGATAGTCAAACTGGAAATTCAACATCAAGATAATTGAATCACTTATTCACCATGGAGTTGTGAACACAAAAGTACAAAACTATGATTGTGGGTTATGTTTCAAATACTAAAGCGTTCATTTGAGAAGCTTAGGTTTCTCATGTTAGAACCAGGAAAATATAATGTATCACTAGCAGTTATTTCTAGTGGAAATACTTATCAGGATTCTTACCTTTACCAGGCTTTCAGCGATTGTAGTCAGCTGAAATTGTAAATCTTGAACAATTTTAGCCACTGATCCTGGGGTTTTTATTATTTCAATACTTTGTGTATACGGGTTGTAGTGGACATCAAACGGTCTTTTAATGGTTTGTGCAAAGTCTCTGGAAAAGAATAGTACCGAAAACTCTTTTGGTACATGGGAAAATTAAGGGGATCTTTCAACTTCTCGACTAAAAAATATTTGGCTACTTATTATTTTCTAGTAACCTATTTTGTATAACAAATATTTCTACGAAATACACTGAAAATGGTATTTTACCAGAGATGGAGATATGGATATTTAACCCCTCTTTATAATCAGTACTTATACCAAAGTTATCCAGGTGATATGTGTCTGCTTTTAGCACCAACAGTGGTGTCAAAATTCAATTACTTCTTGGTTATCTTTCTTATTTTTAACACTATGGAAATCATAAGTCACTTTTTTTTGTTTTGTAAACGATATCGATAAAGTAAGTGTCACAAAACTGTTAACTATGAGTTATACAGTTTATTGAAGGCATTTCGATGGATAAAATTCATTTCATGACCATAATTTTTAAAGCTGATAGAAGGGTCTACTCGCTTTAAAGACATTTGCCAGAAATTACTCAGATGTATATTTCCTAGGATATTGATTGATTTCCAGGTAGTTCCAAGGTGACTTGTGAAAACTAGTTCAAAATTTATGATGTTCATACTCACTAGTGGATAAATATATCATCATTTGTCATCAGTTTCAAATATCTTACGAACTCAATTATCATTTCCTTCAATTTTATTTCAAAAATATTGGTGGGTCTAAATGACTCGTTTCTAATTTCTCGGAAATATCCCACAAATGAGAACTTATAATCAGACTGGAGAAAGGTGTTCTAAAATGATTCTTTCGCATGTCAGATATCAAACATTTGTTGATTTACTAGATGCATCACACAGTGAGATAGGATTTCTTGTTGGATAACATTTCAGACTCAATTTATTGTTCATTTTAAATCCAGGTTAATCAGAAACTTTAAAGAGTGGTGCTGGAGACCACCCTAACAACAACAACAACTGAACTAGCCTATTCGACCTTTTTATTTTATGAAAACCTACTTTTTCAACAGAAATGAAGAAGACTGGTTGGCTATCCTAGTCGTTGCTATAGCGGTCTTAAGTCACCCATTTTGAGTTACGACCTGGACGGTCCTTTACCTTTGTCCCTGTCTGCGATATGAGAAGTAGCATTTTCCATATATCCGAAACAGTTATTGAGTCATTTGGTGTGAAGTGAGTGAAGAAAGTTGAGGTTAGCAATTTCCTCATCTACTATGCTAAATCAGCTTCAAGGAATGTCACTCTGTCCCATACTATTGTATGTTTGCAGGCAAGTTAATGCATGGCGATACCACTGTTTCACTGTGCTATAGACTTCACAAACCAGGTGAAATAATAGTTATCATTCCGCTGAAAAGTGTGAAAGACTAGCAAAAGAGAGCAGGTACGAAAGGTTCCGATTCTTCCTTAATTGTCGCTGTATTAAATTTACGCAATGTACTTTTCAAACGGAGTTACCTCATCTGCTTATTTGCAAGGTCAAACGAAGACGTTTCGAAATATCCATTTTGAAAAGTAGTAACCAAACACTCTTCGTTCATGACCTTTTCCGGAATGAATGGTTTGACCACAGCTTTGTCACTCAATGCATGCTGTTAAAAAAGAGAATGAAAATCGACTGAGTTAGATTACCTTTGTCACAAGAATTGTGAAATAGAAGGTTTCAATCAAAAGCTAACACGAATCTGGCAATATGTATCTGTTTTTTTATTGGTGCCTCACTTCGACGATAATGAAATTTGGCCTACTGCTTACACATAGAGTTAGAATGATTCATTGAAAAGTGTGTTAGAAAATGAAGTGAGAAATTTCACTAATGTATTCAGAAAATGATTATTTAGATAAATTTGTGAAAAAAAATATGATGAATGAATCCTAAAAGCTACAAATGGCTTTCAAAAAGTCCAATATTTATAGTCCTCTAATACTAAAGGGATGTAGTTCGAGAAAGTCACAGGAAACACCTCTTCTGCAGTCGAACTGAAAATTAAATTTTACAAGCAGTTCTAATAGTTTGTGTTCAGTATGTCAAGGTACGATTTCCCGCGTATCGGGAACAGGTGGTGAATCGTTTCTGTTACTTATATGTTAGAAAGAATGTCTGTAACTAAAAGCCAGAAACTGTAAGGACACGTTCGTGAATTATTACCCTCCTAAATCGTTAGAAAAATATGAGCAGTAGTAGCGGCATAGGTGTCAACAGTAATAATAGTAGCAATAATAATGATAATTATAATAGTGACAATAATAATAATAATAACAATAATTAAGACGACACTGTGAAGATATCGTTAAAGTCTCTACTATTTTAATATGCGAAGAATGCACTTCATAGACATGATGTAGTATTTCCGACAAGTCTGGAATTGGAGTGACGCTGAAAAGTGAAAACCAACATCGAAAACGTTTTGTACTTTTAGAGATCCGATTAATCCATTTAAGCAAGATAGTCTAACTTACCTTATCCCTTTCAACGATTGTCACGTCAACCGGAGTCACTGTTGCTGTCCTAGGAAAAAGATCTAGCTTAATCAAGATGAGTATGACGATAATGAATCTAAAAATATTCCGGCTATAGTTATGTATGCAATTAAACACAACCACACAACAGTATTGAAAAAAGTGACAGTCCTTGAAACTAACTTGTCGAGGTGGATGGAGAAACTGATAACCTAACCATTGTTCATTTAATTAACAGCAAACGGATCAGCACCTGTTCCAGATATATGAGAAATCCCACTTATCATATAGCGGACAAGGAGAGAGGGACAGAACCGTATAATCGTGCCTCACAGTTGTCAATTCATCTTCATATATTTGCTGACAATATATTGTGAGAAATATCATTCGGCAAATAATTCTATTTCACTGGGAAAGGCATCTAATAAATCAAACTAAATGGAATTGCGAAAGTTTTACAAGCAGAGGTATTATGTCTTGAAGCCTAAATCACTGAGTTCTCTGTTTATGCAAATCAACTGCTCCTCTAAGGAGGTTAGGTTGGAACTACTCAGAAAACTGTAGTTTGAGGTGCGATGAATCATTTACTAGGTGGATAAATAACAGAGGATAGATTGGAAATGACTATTTGTTCCATACATACGCTATAACTCAGAATTTATCGTTCATCAGAAATATACATTTAGTCTTAAACTATTTATAAGAATTTAAGTGGGCTACTAGACTGAGTCAATCTCCTTCTCTAAATGATCAAATTCATAGTCATATAACTGTAAAGTCAGAATTTTGTGTTAACAATAAGCCTGTGGAAATGCTTACTAGTCCTGTAACCTAGTAATAACTTTGACTTGAATTAACTGCTTGAATTTTGGTTATTTTTCTAAGCACTTAACAACCGTATACTGTTTGCCTTACTTTGTTCATGTAAATATACTTGCACTCACACTTCCTTTATGTAGTTCAAATAGTAAGCTTTCGAATCCCAAGACCTATTCGAGTTGTACCGAGATCTAGGTGTTAATTTGAAATCTAATCACAATATTGCATCATTTTTCGGGAACGGTTTACCAGTCATTTTACAATTATTTCCCGTCTGGATTTAATTATATATTATTTTATTATTATTAATCCCTTGGGTTCCTAGTGGAACATAGGGCTTCAGTAGCACGTCTCCATTTCATCCTGTTCTCCGAGATCTTTTGAACCTGGTTCCATGGCAGCCCACAAGCTCTCATTTCCTCCTCGCACGACCTTCTCCATGTCACCCTCGGACGTCCAACTCGTCGCTTCCCATAGGGATTCCACTCGAGGGCCTGACGCGTGATGTCCTCAGTCGGCCTTCTCAGTGCATGGCCAATCCATCTCCACTTCTTCCTGCATATTTGTTGCGTGATAGGTTCTTGGTTGGTTCGTTCCCAGAGTTCCTTGTTGCTTATTCTTTCTGGCCATCTGATCTTCAGTAACGAGCGTAAGCAGTTGTTGATGAATGTCTGTAGTTTATTGGAAATACCTTTCGTGACGCGCCAAGTCTCTGAACCATACAGGAGCACTGACTTGACTGGCTGGTGTTGAAAATCCGTATCTTGTTCCGCATGCTGAGTGCAGAAGATCTCCACACTGGTTTCAGGCTACTGAACGCCTGTCTTGCTTTTCCGATTCTGACTTTGACGTCTTCGTCCGTCCCGCCTGTAGTTCAAACAGTGCTTCCTAGATAAGTGAAGGAGGTTACTTCCTTCAAGTTTCTCCCATTGATGGTGATTGGAGTTTGTTGTTGTTGTTGGAGTTGTTGATGCGGTATCTTCATCACTTCTGTCTTCTCTATATTCACTTGAAGTCCCGTCTTCGCTGCCTGCCTCTTCTATCAACTTGTTAGTTTTTGTCTGCAGATCTTCAAGTTTATGTGACATTAGGCACAAGTCATTGTTGGCGAAATCCAAGTCTTCTAGGTTCTTTTCCGTCGTCCAGCGTATCCCCCTCTTCTCGCTCTCCACTGTTTGCTGCATGATCCAGTGGACCACAATCAGGAATATCATGGGGGATAGTAGGCAACCTTGTTTCACTCCTGTCTTCACTTCAAAAGCATAACTGAGCTTCCCATTGTGAATTACTTGGCATGTGGCATCTTCATATAGTTGTTGAATGAGGCTGATAAAGGTCTGCGGTACTCCGTAGTACTGAAGCAGTTTCCAAATTTACTTCTCGGTCGACGCTGTCAAAGGCCTTCTCAAAGTCGATGAAGTTGAGGTAGAGAGCTGATTGCCATTCTATGCTCTGTTCTATGATGATGCGGAGCGTTGCAATTTGGTCTGCACATGATTTGTACTTCCTGAAGCCTGCCTGTTCCGGTCGTAGTTTTGAATCCAGTGCATCTTTAAGCCTCTCCAAGATGATGCGGCTTAATATTTTACTTGGGGTGGACAGGAGAGTGATTCCGCGCCAGTTCTTGCAAGCACTCAGGTCTCCTTTCTTCGGCAGTTTGACAAGGTAACCCTTCTTCCAATCAATAGGCAAGTACCTTCTCTTCCTTCCACACCTTCTGCAATAGTGGCGTGAGCATGTCCGTTGTTGTCTCTGCGTCTGTTCTCAGTGCTTCTGGCGGTATCCCATCTATTCCTGCTGCTTTCCCACATTTCAGTAGCTTTGTGGCGTTCAGGACTTCCATTTTCGTTGGAGGATTTATGTTCACTTGTAATTCAGCGGCTGCAGGTGGTATTTCTGGACGAAGTGCAGGTGGTGGTGGTGGTCGATTCAAGAGCTTCTTGAAGTGGTCGGCCCATCGTTTCCTCTGTTTCTCTTCTTTTGTAATTAAATTTCCTTCTTCATCTTTTATTGGTTTCATCTGTGTTGGTCTCTTCCCTGATAGCAACCTGGTTATTTGATACAATGTCGTCAGGTCTCTCTTACCTGCAGCCTGTTCTGCTTCACTTGCCAGTGTTTCCTAGAAGTGTCTTTTGTCTTTCCGTGCACTCTTCTTCACTTCTTTGTTCAGTGTTTTATACATTGTACTCAGTTCCTCTTCTCGTTGAGCATCCTTGCACTGGTTTATCTTCTGCTTCACCATCCTCCTCTCGCTGCTCTATCAGCTTCCATGTGTCCATCGAGATCCATTCCTTATTTTCTTTCTTCTTCCTTCCTAATACGGTTGTGCAGGTTTCTTTCCACATAGCTTTCAAAGACTTCCAGTGTTCTTCCACACAGGTTTCTTCAGGGATGTTGCTCAACATCTCCCATTTTGTCTTGATGGCTGGCTGACGTGAAGATCTCCTTTGTAGTTTCATCCTTCAGTTTCTGAGTGTTGTACTTGAACTGTGGTCTATCACCAGCTTCCTTGAAGGCTTTTATTTTGATTTGGAAGGTTTCTTTCACTAGACAGTAGTGGTCTGAACCTACATCTGCTCCTCTTCTTGACCTTGTGTTAAGTAGACTGCGTCTCCACTTTCTTGAAATTGAGATAAAGTCAATTTGATTTTTAGTATGTCCATCTGGTGAAATCCATGTCGCTTTGTGGATGTCCTTGTGCTTGAACACAGTGCCTCACTCCGATCACCAAATCGTTGAATGCACAGAATTCTGCAAACAATTCTCCATTCTCATTCATCACCTCACCTAGTGCCTCTCGACCCATGATGAGTTCTCTTCTTGTGTTGTCCCCTCCCAGTTTGGCATTCATGTCGCCCATTAGAATTTTGATATCGCCAACTGACGTCTTGTCCAGTGTTGTTTGAAGTTGTCTGTAGAAATCCTCCTTTTTCTCTTGCTCTACATTATTTGTAGGTGCATAACATTGTATGATTGTGACCTTTCTTCCTTTTGAGTTGAATCTTGCTGTCATGATCCTGCAAGAGGAGATTGGTTCCCACTGCATGAGAGCCTTCGATGCTCTTGGGGACATCATGATAGCCACTCCCTCAGTGTGCTCGTGGTTGTCGTCTGGGTGACCGGAGTAGATTATTGACTGTCCGGTTGACAGTTTTCAGAGTCCACTCCCATTCTATCTGCTTTCGCAAATCCCAAGCACTTCACTGTGATACCTTCTCATCTCCTTTGCAATCTGGGCTGCCTTACTGGGTTCAAACATCGTACGGACATTCCATGTCCCCACGTTTACTTTCGCTTTCATCGAGAGATGAGAAGACACATCGGCCAATTGGCTTGCCGAAGGCTTTCACCAACTGGCGTCATTTCGCCTCTCCGATTCCAGCGGGGAATAAGTTTGTTTTCATTTTTTATATTTTGTTTGTGCTTTGAAGTTTGTTTAGCGGTTAGATTTTTTTTAAGGGGTGGGGTTGCTAGCCCTATGCCCAACCTTCCCTCTTTACCCGAGCTTAGGACCGGCTAGTAACTAGTGTACTAGTTAACCAGGCGAGGTTGGATTTAATTATAACTTCACATTAATGTTTAGCTGTGAACTTACTTTTCATCACTTGTAAATACGCTACCGCGTAACATGGGTCTCATTTCTCAGTTATCATAGACACACCTACCTTTCGTCTGCTTACACTACTTATATATTCCTCAGTACACAAGATATTCATACTAAAAGGTTGAACCTGATGAGAATCTAAAGAAATTAGGTATTCGCCTTGATCCACTGTCCTTTAAATGTTATCGTAGGAATTTTCCAGTAGCTTAAAAGGGTTAGAGACTGAATAATTTTAGAAATAATTTCAACAGTGACTTCTTGGAATTTTACTGAAAAATTGTTATTTAATCAATGATCTGACACCTCTTTTCAAGTAAATATAATTGATTAATCAGTAACAATATTGATATGGGGTGACAATAGGTGACATGAAAACCTGGCTTGTGGGATGATTCAAGCCAGCTGCCTCTGGATTATTGACATGGTGCTCCACCAAATGAGTTACGTGATCCTCTTTCAGTCGTCATCCCGTATCAGTAATATAAGTCTGCTAAACCATGGTTACCGAAAATCACAATATGACAGGTGTTTTGGTAAACAAAGTAATATCATTATTTTGTCGCACAATTGTGGGTCATTTCTAGCTATTTATATTGTTGATTGGTGACGTATTTGCGAAATAATATGACGTCCACTTATTTGACACGACTTTCTTTGGCTGCGTAGAACCTAAATACATTTACATTCAGGATAGAATTGTAAAAATACCTGGTAGTTCACCTTTTGAAGGGGCAGAATGACAGGCAACATGATGAGTGTCTCACAAATATAAATTAATTCCAGCTAAACACATTTATGAAAGGAGGAGGTGAATCTTCTGGAATGGGTTAGAGAGACTTAGTGATCATTCGAAATGGCTCTTAATCATGTTAAAAAATTTTTTATAGAGAATGAATATACAAGTAAAATAAGCGAAATATAATCACAACTAAGTAAAGACAATCAAATTTATAATAAGGATCAATTTGAAATTGAAGAGCTAGTGAAGAGGAAAAATATATATTCGAAGAAATTTGAAAGAGGTATTGAGTTTTTATGAACAAACGGTCACCCACAATCAAGGTGGTGAGAGGTTGACTATCATTTCTCTTTGAACTCTCACTGGCAAGAAGCCTGTTAACTTCATTAAAACTCAGTGTAACCGAATTCCTCAGTATGTCATCGATTGTGAAAGGCTCTGATACGTAGCTTGTAGAACCCGTGTACATTTTGCTGTGCTGTAGTGTTCTAGTAAACTATCAACGGCCCTTAAAGTTCATACTCCTCGGTAAGTGCTCAAGGATTCGTGGAGATAATTGTCCGCCTAATGTACCTTCTACCACAAGGTGCACAAGAGAGTTGATAATAAGAGTCAATACTTTTTTCCATTTGTGACTGAATCATTAGGATGCTGTCTGATAGAATAGTGCTGACGAGGTATACCACTGTCGGAGGGCCTTAATGGTTAGAAACCAAAAAGGCTGACGTGTATTTTTTCACCAACCAGATCCGAGTGGTGTAGACAACAGACGGCCGTTCCGCTCGTTATGGGACGAGCTTATCAGCGTTTTGCCCAGAAATTCAGTTCATGGAGTCGAATTACTTCAGATCACCTGAATCTGGCAGGCTGACTTGCATGGACTGATATACCTAAAATGGGGTGATTAATCTGAAATTGATTTGCAAATTGCACGGTTCACGTTGACTTTTCTCGCAGCTGATTAGTTTTTCAACTGCGGAACTATTGTGTCAATAGGGTTTCTGCTGGAAACCACTAAGCCAAGATCATGAAGTGTGATCTATGAAACAAAAGTGTCATGACCTAGCGTAAGAACAACTTGAATAGTTAGAAACCACCCAGGATGACCTGTAGCATCACTGACTAGTAGTACTATTACAAACTTTCCAGCAGGGCAAGTGACTGACATATTGCTTCTTGTCCATCTGTTTATTCTTCCTACTTTGTCACTACCTTTGAAACTTAGATTCGGGGAAATACACTTCCTTTCTATGTTATCATGTTCACTCCTCCATCTGTTTCTAATGCAGTATTTTTGAATGAACTTTGTAGGTTATTTATTTTGTGACAGAAGTTGCTCAGACGGCTTCATTTCTGGCTGAGGCTTTTTTTAGATTATTTCCTCTTCCCTATTCAATATCGTGTTCTCCGTAACGATTCTTGTAGCTGACTAGGTGACAACTATTGAAGTTCAGTTACTGAATACACCAAGTAGCCTGTAAATGAATACTTCTACGCATAAACCCGTCCTCTTTTCGTCTCACACATAAATCAAGAAAACTTAATTGGTTTTCTTTTTCATATTTAATTGTAAACTCGTTATTATAGGCGTTACTGATCGTCTGGAAAGTTTTTGGTGCTTGTTGAAGACAGTTGACAATCACAAAGGTATTATCAAAATACGACACAGTGTACATTTATCAGCGATAGGTTTTAAGATTGGCATTTCTCAGTTTGGCAAAAATAAATCATCTATTGTCGGATCCAGAGTGCGGAACACCGGATGATCCATACAAAATGTCAGCAAATAAGAACTGTATCTCTTTGATGCTTAGGAGCAAATAAACTTAATTGGATTTTTAGATACTTGAAGGTCTTCTAAGTGTTAATTTAATGATGCCACTGGTTCATTACAGAGATATACGTGTAAACAGGAGCAGAACATCGCAAGATGCTATGAAATTACTTAATATGTTCGTATGATGGATTATTTTGACGAATTCAGATGTAGTTTTTCTAAGGTTTATCAAAAGCTTTCTAGACTAATTAACTTGCCAATATGATAAAAAGTTCCTTGAGGGCATGCCAAACTGGCGCATTCTCGGTTAACAACACAAAGGGTAAGTGGTATCTATTCTGTCTGAGGACATCACAAGTTCAGTTATTAATTACTTTGCCTGAGGTCTATTAGATTCTTTGTGATTTATTTCTCAGTAACTTCTGCATGTCTTCCTGACAATTACTCAAACTGAACTGCTATCCATCTTCAAATATTTATTAAATTTTATCGACATATTATTTCTGACTCATGATTACCACTTCAAATCCTTTATGAAGTCGAAGAATCAGAGTTAGCACATCATACTCTGATTCCTCCATAGGGCTTTAATGTTCCTTAGAAAGAAGTTTGGATTGATTTGTGTGACTACTTGATGCCAGTGAACAGAGTTGGTTCTTAAAAAACTTCCTCTTTCATAAATCATTTTAAAAATATTTACTTATTAGTGTAGGTTTTCAAGTTGAGATTACGTATTGCTTTTGCTTTATGACTTTCTTGGCATTTAAAATGAAACGTTGCAATGAACCCATTTTTCTGCAGTTGAATTAATAGTGCCTTTTATAAGTTACACATATGTGTGTTTCCAGACACTTTGGTTACCGTATAGTTGTTACATGATCAGGAAGTCAGAAAGTGATTTCGTTTACTAGTTTTCAGTCAGAGATACCGTTGATTCATTATGCAACCATTTTATTCATTTGAGGTTTATATACAATGGTGAAAAATTTTAAAAAGTAGTCGTGACAGACAGGAGGTTTCCAAACGGTTCATTCATATAATTAGTAGATTGCGTAACTATATAACAATACAACTTTCAACCTTGACTGGGTGGACAAAGATCCTGTCAACATAACCGTCGAAAAAATGAAGAACAGTCAAGCTGTAGATAACCATCAAAGCAAACCCTGAAGTCTGCAAATAACTGCCAAATTGTTCATTAATTTGAATGTCTTTCTTTTTAGTTTGGGTCACTCATACATTATTCCTCCATTGAGGTAGTTTACACGTGACGAAAAAATGATGTTAAGTACAGAGAGTCATTTTTTGCCGATATAACATATTTTTATTCCTACATTACATCGAAAAAGAATCTCAGAGAGAGTTCAGTCAGTTTTCAGAAGTCTATTAGAGGCCTGCCTAAACCTTGGGGTACAAACAATTTTTTACCTAATATCTTTAATCAAACTCTTCCCTTTCTGTTTGTTCTATTCTTTTAAATATATCTTCAAACTGTATCATATCCTCTCGCACATTTTTAAAAAGTTCTCAAACTGTCGTTTGTTAAGCTAAAAACGAAGCAAAGAAAAAATGTTACGCCGGATAAAAATGAAAATATAAATGCCTTAAAACACAGCGCAATACTGTTTCTAGGATACAAACATGGAATTGTAGATTTTTGTACTGGTTCCCTGAACTACCACCACCATAATTCAACTCAGTTTCGCTTTCATTCTTAAGGCTAGACTAAACGCAAATGTACCATCAGCTACACATTTCACATTAGAGCCTTTTATACCATTATCACTAACACTATTTAGATGTAATAATTATTTCTTCTAAAAATATTATGCGAGGAGTGTACGTGTTAAAATATCACATGGTGAGAATTCTATAATGTTTCCATATGTTATTTGGAATGAAGCGATTACTATTATTATTGAAGAAAGTAAAATTGTGTACCTGTAGTTCAGCTGCTGATGAAAGCAATCCAGCACCGTAGGCCTTCAGTTGATTATCTTGTCGACATAGACCGAATTCAATGGTGAAAAAGTAGCACTATTTCAAAAGAATATAGGAGCAATATTTTTAATCATTTGTTGAACTCTAATGAAATTTTAATGCGTTACATAACAAAAAAACAGATGAAGTACTATACTAACAAATTCACCACATTTTCTGCCTGCTCTCAATGTTCTGAGTAATTATTTTCAACAAATTTCAAGTGTATTAAAGCAATCACTTGAAGGTTCAAGACATGATTTTATTTGTTGATAGCCAGCTTCATCTAGCAATAAACGTGGAAATTAGAACCATGAGCTGTTGGAATCTTTCCACAAACACGTTAAACCATTTTACTACTAGTTATTCTAATGGCAGGATTGCATCTATTAACCAACTGTATTTAAAGAGTGCTCAGAAGCCAAACGTGAATGATTTTTAAATTTTTTATCTTTTATCCATTTATTGAAGGTACTGAACAGTAAGTGTACATGGAATATTTAATGGAGTCAGTCAAGGAATCCCTGAAAGTTATCCAATAACAAATCGCATTTTCGACTGCTCAGTAAAAGACTTATCCGCAGTTGTCTTATAATATTGAGAGCAGGCAGTATAACAAGATGAGTGGTAACCAGGTATTAGAGAAATAGATTATAAGTTTCCTGCTTTCTCACAGGTGAACAATATTTGATATTTCTTAGCTTCTGAATGCAACACTGAAATAAATTTGTTTAGGAATTAAATTCACTTCTAAATTTTCTATCTTTTTCTATAACTTCAAATGATGAATACTTATTCAATAGCTTCCATGGATATACACTAGTATATATTACTAAGGCTGTCGTGAAAATACATTAAATTATTAACTGGAACCGAGCTTGCGCCACTGGTTGTTAGTTACAACTATTTAGTCGAAACTTTTTATATTCTGCGAATTCTGATATCTAAGTAGGTGGATTTTGTTCCGAATTAAGGATCTTATGATGCTGAAGTAGGTATTCAGATCACTAAGACATTACAAGAAGTTCGTAATATCATTTGAATTTCGCTCTTCAGCAGCACCTAAACTATGAGGAACAGTTGACTTTTCAACTCTATGTATCATAATTGATCATAACCATAACTAATTATGAGCCATTTTATCGTGTGCAGTATGACTTTAAACTGCTAGCCTGAAATTTTGAGGTGTAATTCACATATTTTACTTAACTGCAATTAAAAGGTTTCAAACTCTAAAGAATAAGGGTTCCTTTTATACAATGGTGAACACTTTTACTTTATCTTATTCATTGGTGGAACATGAACATTGACTGAATACGAAAAAATCCATTACGTCTGAAGTGCTCAACAATCATCATAATCTATTTAGTTCTACTCACAAAACTTTCTTCACAGTGTAAAAATATACAAATCAAGATTCTAAGAGACAGGGAAATGCAATGAGATGTGTGCTTGCACTTAACACTACTTTATCATTTGTGCGAAAAGTCTGATTTGGGAACACTGTTGAAAGTTTACGCTGTTTATTTGAAGATAACTCATTACTTTTTTGAGAATACAAAGTATGGATTACGTTTATCTTCACATCCCAAAATCGTTCAGTTTTCATCTCTTAGATAGTGGATTTTAAGGTGCGAAAATCATCTCCAAGCTAAAAGTTCAAAATATTGCGTCATTTTTATACGAATCCATGTTCTAATTAATACCATCCGCTAATACATGCAACATTTATCTAAACACGCAACATCTTTATAATGACTCCAGGGACAAAAGGAAGGTATAAAGCTGTTCATTTACACAAGTTCAATAATCGGAAATAAACTTACGGTTGCTAGCTTCTTGATTTCGTCATCACTGGTACCCAAAGAAGCCAAACCTATTTCTTGCGAGAATCGTGCAAATTCAGGATCAGCTAACATCGGTACATGACCCAACAGTTCATGAACACAATCACTGAGCAAAATAAAAACACAGTAATAAGGCTGAGTCACCCAGCAGCTTTTGAAATACTGTATCATAATTCGACTTCACAATGAAAAACAAAAAGAACTGTTAGATCATATTTCTTCGCTGTAATGCAACACAGGATAAGGCAATGAGTAAGTGAAATGTCTCTGCGAATTTTGTCCACTTGATACATACCTGTGTTAATAGTTATCTTATACTTTGCCAGAGTTCGTGAATCTACCGAGTCATAGCTATACTAGAAGTGACTCAAGATAATAGTGGCTTCCAACCAAGGAATTTTTAGATGATGTTTCTTCTAGGTTGTGAGCTCGTTTTCCTATCTAACTTCTTTGTAAATAAACTAGGAAAAGTAAACCGGAATGAGAAGTTAATGAGATGAAATCAGAGAAAAATGCAAGCTTCTCGCACATTCAAAGTGTGCTATGTGATTAAATGAAGCTAAGATTGTAGTGTAGCGGCAACGTCTTTCATAAGACACTTGTTTTAATGTACATTTGATTGAGTAAGTGTTTCCGTCTCAGTCACTATCTTGTCAAAAAATTTCTACGTATTCAATGACCAATGTCAGTAGACGTCAGGAAGTTTATTTATGTCCCTAGCTTTAAACCAATTTGTTTACTGACATGATGAAAGAAAGAAAATAGTATTTATGTTGACAAAAGTGAATGAGAAGATAACTTACGGTTCTGGGGTATAAAATGGATCTTTTTCATGACGTATATATTGAGTACAGTAAAATACTCGAAATGCCAAACCAGAAAGAAAATCACGTGCAGATAAATAGCCTGCTACGGGTCGGAGACAAAATCCACTTCTTACTGTATTTGGAAAAAATTGCAAGTAGAAATTACGATTATTATCCACGATCACTGAAACACTTGGAGTTACAAAGTAATTATTATGCTGAACATTCCTATCTTGTGCTACTAGAAGTTAGTTTGTAGTTAATTTCTCTTGATTCGAAAGTCACAGAAGTAGCTAAGTCAGACTTTTAAAACATTAGAAGGACAAACGAGACAAACTTTCTTAAGAAGATCAGCTGTGTAGAAATTGTCAACTAATTCACCTGCATTTGCTCAAATCTAGTCGGAATCGTAATTCTGAGCAGTTATGAAAGATATTCCAGCTTCACATTCATATCCATTGGTAATGATGAAAATTTATGGATGATACCAAAATCTCTGCCCCCAGAACTGCATACTCGGAAACTACACAAACAAGCATAAATTCAGAATACAGACAGAAATAAAATGTTTTGCTCTAAAACAGTTCCAAAATAAGTTGCATGAAATCATACAAAAGGATTCAGATAAAGCTACAGTTTATTTTCACGTGTTTTCTTAGTGCAGTGACCAGTCCGTAAATAATATCTTTTGTATGGAGTAAGTTATTCAGAGAATCAAAGCTGCGAATAGGATGTAGAAAAGCTGTAGTAATATCCTCTTTTTCATTTGATGTTGTTGCCTATAATATCCCATCGTTGATTAGATCGAATCGACTAGTTTACGTTTGCAAGAGGGGTCCTGTGTGGATGCCTTGATATGCAGTGTTGTTTTAATGTTGTGTCAGTGATGGGCAGTGACTGGCAGTGAAATCCAGGACGCGCGGTTCAACCTTTTTGGGATTCATCAGCTTGATGTACCTGCCTTCCAGGAAACACCAGAGCGTTATCCACTAGATATCGTCAACTGAATAGAATTGATCGGGATAATACAAGTAACAAGAAACTACACCCATCGTGCGAGAATTGGCTGTCGTGACTGAGTGTCCTGCTGAAAAACATACCGTCGTTTGAAGCGATCCTTTCAAGATTCCAGTCTTGGTGGGAACAATATCACTCACTTAGGAGCAAGTACATCCAGCTGATGAGTCTCAAATAGGACGAGGTGGACAATCTGGATTCCACTGCTAGCCAATGTCCATCATTACTGCAGTATTCTCTCTGTTTGGAGTTCCTGAAACCTGGATATTGAATAATAGTCTCAAATACATTTTGAAGATGGATGCAAGCTCTCAAATTCTGATTAAATTGAAGGTATTATTTAGCTGACCTGTTGACCTAGAAAAACAAGGAGGTTGGGTTCACTAAGAAGACCTTAGAGTTTAATTCAAAACTTCAGTTTTTTTCTTCGTTTATGCTCAGTTTTCTTTTTCAAAGATTTAAACACTTACATTGCCTCATGAAGAATAAAGACTTCAGTGAACAAGATTATTGTCACCAATATCGTCCCCTGCAGCTGTACACTTGGCTTTAAGCAAAGTCAGTGAGCACAGTAAATATCAAAATTTGCTCATGAATAATTGTTGGTAGTTCGTAGTCATGAAAATTACATAGGAATGGAAATCATATACAGGTGAAAGTATTTGACAACACTAGTAAATGTGAGTTGAAATCAAGAAGTAAAGAATTCTTAACAAAGAGAGTAGACAGTTTTGGCTGGGCTAGGGAATAAGGAATTCGTAACTCAGTTAAACGAATGTCACTTAATAACGATATGAAAATCAAAAGATCGGTTGTTCTGAAGAACTGGAAAGCTTAGGATATGGGAACTGAGTAAAGGAAAGGAATGATATGGTTGTTTATCGATACACAGTTCTGGTTTCGATTACTGTATTTCTAGAGCTTCAGCAGTGCACAATAAACACTTCTTTACACTTTTTGGAAGATTGAGTCGTATTTGTAGACTAGTACAAACTAATCTGCCCACCAACTACTAAATATTGTAATATGGAGCTGCTGAATAGTCTGAGTTCACCTTGACTGAGCCATACTGGAAGATCTTAATATCGACGTCGAACAATCTGCCTCTGTCTACGGATCCAAGCTAGACAGGAGCAGGTGAAATGACATATGCAAACTCAAGTGGGTAGCAATTACTGTTTCTTCTTTGCACACGTGTTCACCAGTGAGCGACATTCTTTTTAAAAATCATCTATTTATGTTTTTCAGGTTGTGTGATTGCAAAGCTAAGGGTTAAATATACTGAATTAACTTTATCCAAAACCATAACATATTTCCCATGTGTCATGATTAAATTATATTTATGAAGAGTTTCAGCATTGTTGAGTGACTCGATTTATTGTAAACAATTTCGAAACATATGTTTGCACACAATGATTAGTTTCATCGGTGTTAATAGTACTTTAATAGAAACCGATGCCTGTTATCGAAAACTTAGCTGAAATTTAAGACAAAGTGAGTTAATTCGGAAGTGATACATAACTACACAGAACGTGTCAAATAGGCTTTTTACATATATAAAGAGTGATTTTTATCCGAAGTCGAAGTTCTGGAACAAATAAACACCAAGAAGTTATCGATAACTGATATATTCAAAACTCTCTATCTATGCACATTTCTGAAACGATGTCTAGCTTCAATGTTTGTTCTTGGTTTTGAAATGAAACTCACTAAAGTAAAACGTCACTTTCATTGAGCACTTATCTAAATTTGTAAGCTCGTACTCTCATTTAAATCAAGTAGGTTTTCTCTATACTCGTCGTACATCAACTTCTTTCTCGATAAGACCAAGTTGCAGTTATTGATTGACTGATTACCCATTCTGTGTTACTTCACTTATATCCATTTATTTATACTTCAAAAGGCATTGTCAGTTTCATTTTAAAAATATGTAATAGGAGCTACTTAAAAGAATGCATGTAAGAAGTACATATAGTATTGTCGAAAACTATTATGATCGATCAATCAGGAATCAGATAAAACGAATATGTAATGTTGATTTGAAATATAAGGTGCAGTAAAGTTGCAGAATAAAATGACGAACAAGAGATATTTTTATGCATGGACGATTGCGCCCACTTCGCTTAAGAAATCGATTCCTAGTATAATTCAACGCAAGTTAAGTGCCTCAATAAATGGGTAGCGAATACCATGACCTCGTACTTCAAAAGCACAGCCAAACATGCGTAGAATTTTCGCTTCATATTCACCTACAGTCTGATGTAAAAATAGGCAACATTATATACTCTGGCTTCGCTCTTGTAAACGAAGCTGCTGCACCTATGTTAACTCAAAAGATCAATTCCCGGCGATTTACTTGCATCCTGGCATTTATATACACTTTATCCATTGGTAAAATCACATAGGGTTATAACAGTGAGCAAGAACGTGAACTATACTTCCCATGGTGACTACTGATTCGCTACTGTAGGGTAGTTTCTACATCGGTGCTTTATTCTCCTGTATAATAAATGCGTGCCGTTTTGCTGACCCTCCTATATAGGGCTGCCACCTACTAATGTAAGTCTTCATCTCTTTTCTTTGGTGAATCTGCACTTCACACTTCTGCAACTGCTGCTGTCGGAGAACGCTTACTAACTACTAAATATTCATCACCTGAGATTCATTTGCAAGTTGCAACTCTTAGACGATGGAAACTGGCAAACTCTCCATAAATTACCTTGCTAAAAGTCATGCCGTTGACTTTTCGTTGATTTTGCGTAGAGCGCTGCGGAAAATAACCGTCGGTTTCGTCATCAGCATCAATCGACATTCAAAAGTGCCCATCCTCGCATTTCTAAACTCCTGCATCCTACCTGCGGGCTATCGAACTTTTTAACTCCCTCAAAATTCCTCAGAAATATTTGGACATCTTCAGCTCGAATGTTGATAATCATGGTTATCTCATCTTGCAGGGAGGCAGAGAGATTTCTAAACAGAAGTTTGATGGTGAAGCTGACCTTGCAATCGGTGAAAATACAGCTGATATTAGTAAGAACACTAGACCCAGTGATAGAGCTTGTATTTACAAATAATCTCTTGTTCTACATGTTATCCCGTAAATTTACTAAATTTTATGTTTCAGCTCCAATATATATATATATATATATATATATATATATATATATATATATTCTTTCTGTCTGATTCCACATGAGTCAGTCGTCGTCACTCTCGACATTGACATGCATACTACTAACCCCACCACAATATAACATTTCATTTCATGACACTAAATAACTCTTATGTTACATGGCTTCAAGCCATCTCTAAGGATTTCTTGGTGTAAATTTCCCACCTTTAGGCGATTTTACATTGAGGTAATTCCGTCAGGATTCGCTGAACTGCGAAATCCAATAATAATACAAGTCACGAGCTTTACAACTTTGCCCAAAAGCTGTCAAGGGAAAGTACTTAGGTCTAATAATACACAAACTTTTCCCATCTTCTGTATTCAAAAACAACGTGTCCCTATAATAAACTTACCCTGGTAATATTTACCTTAACTTGTTACTACGGTTGGTTTCAAAACTTAGTCTTCTATTATCCTTACCGTTATTATAACCTACCTGATTGTCAGTCAAAAACTTCGATTTCCATAAATCTTTTTTGCAGATGAGCGACGTTTTCGAATCACTTTATCTGAATAGCCACACAGTTCAACATTTCAATATGAATTGGCAATTCGGAATCCGATTCATTCTTCCATTCATTCAGCGAAAGATAAGCAAATACTCTGGCGGTAACAGTCAACAGTTATAATGATAATAAAAAACGACCAATGTAGGAGTCAATAAAAGATTAACTTAAACTTTTTTTCGAGCACCTAATTTCTTAAGATCAAACCCCTCAGAGGAACATTACTCGATCGAATTTATCAAGAATCAAGAACTTGTTCTGTCTTCTGGTAGCGTTGTCTAGTGTAAAATTTGAATAAAAGCATCAAAAATGTGTTCAGTAAAGCAGCTAAAGGGAACTTACTTTTTAAAAAGTCTGATACTACTTGCAACTGAGGTAGATCATTTTCACTATTATTTAGTACATGAAAATAGAAAAGGAAACATGAGAACAAATTTCAATCATAGTCAATTCAGCAACTAAAGCTGTGTGTATTAGCTTCTTTTAGATTAAATGTGCACAATTACAGACGAGCTTAAACTCTTTTTTGGAAGATGTACTTTGGTTGACAGAAAATATTTGAGTAACTTTATATTCAAACATTTTGAGTATCTCATAACACCACTAGTAGTCCCAAGGTTTGGATTTGGCCTAACTTTAACCATTGTATGACAATGTCTTTTTAAACAGTTACAATCCAAGAGTGCTTCTCCGGATACACATTTTTGTTTTTTGATCTTGTATTTTTAACAGTTTATAAAGTGTATGGTGCTTGGTGTTTCATATCTTGGCTTTATGTTACTCAGTTTTCATATTGTGGTCTGAATCGGTCTCCAGAATGTAGCTTCTATTACAGTGTGATATTTTTCCATGTGTATAAACGATGCTACTGAGAAAGCGGTGTTATGATGTCTCTTTACAACAGCTATCACAATAGAATAACATAGACGAGCATTTATTTTTAAATTTTGCATACACTACACACTTATATTCGTTGCAGAACTACTGAAAACCCAGGAACACTGAACAGATATTTTGTCCTGGTGTGGGACTCTAGCAGCATGCATCCAGGACCTTTTGTGATGGGCTCGTTATTATTCAGCTCCTGGGTCAGAATCCAATGGCTTACATTTCCAAATGAGATTCTGAGTCCAGTTACTTCTATTAACCTGGTCCTCTGACATGGAAGATTCTATAGCTGAAATTGCTGTAGTCGACATTAAGGACAGAAAAATCCTAACATCATGACAACTGTAACATAAGCATTACTTTTTTGTTCCTTGTAATTTCCCGTCGTTACCTGGACGGCATTCCCTGGACTGCATCGGAATATAGGATCCAGCTCGGATACCTCAGTGTTACTTGTAGTTTTAGTTTCGTCGTAAAGGCATACAATGGCTAGCAGTAGAATCCAGGATGCGTGTTACAACCTAGTAGGGACTCTTCATCTGAATTTGAACACCAATGACTGGGGGGCAGGTAACTCCAGCTGATGAGTGACAAACAGGGTGAGACATGCATCTTGGATTCTACTGCTAGCCACTATCCACCATTACTATAAACACTACTTGTAAGTGTGTTTCTAAGTTCTAGGCCACGTATTGTAAGAATAGTATTCCAACTGCATCTAGAAGCTGGATAAGACCAGTTTTTAGTCCGTTAGATTTCATCAGAAAAACGTGATGAAAAATGATCATACTTTCCAAACTTTAGTTTTTGCTCTATAAACGTTTACTGGCAAAATGACTGACATCCTAGATAACAAGTATAAGCGTTTACATTTCCCCTTTCCATATGAGTGAGGTACTTATTTCAACAACAAAGCCTAGTAGGAAGTTAACTCGATATCATTAATTGTATCAAATTGGTTTACTGATACAATATTCTATCTGCCTGCTACTGGAGGACATCTGCACATTCTATTTCACGCATTCCATTTAAATTTCCTAGTTGCTTATACCATGGTTAAATTTTGGAATATCGCATTAGTGTTAGATAGATTCAACTTTTCACACTATCTTCAGTCGAAAAACTGCGAAATCACTGTTGTTTCCTGTTTGTACCATCATAAAATTATGATACTTTTATGCTTTTATTTCATCAGTTGTTTGGAATTCTATGTTTTTCCTTTTTATTTATTTGTAACATTATCTATGTGTTTAAACATTCACTGGGCTAAATTATTATTATTTGTCACTTAGGTTCCTAATGGAACATAGGGCTTCAGTAGCACGTTTCCAGTGCGCTCTGTTCTCTGAAATCTTTCAAACCTGCTCAACGACAGCCCAAAAGCCCTCATTTCCTCCTAACACGATCTTCTCCATGTCACCCTCACGTCAAACGCCCAACTCATAGCTTCCCATCTGGGTTCCTTTCGACGGCCTGTCCTGGCGTGTGATGTCCACAGTCGGCCTTCTCCACTTCCTTCTACATATTTGTTGAGCGATAGGTTGGTTGGTTTTTGCCAGAGTTCCTTGTTGCTTGTTCTTTCTGGCCGTCTGAGCTTCAGTAACGAGCCAGTGTAGGCAGTTGTTGATGAATATCTGTATTTTGTTGGAAATCCTTTTGTAACGCATCAAGTCTCTGAACCATACAGGAGCACTGACTTGTCGTTGGTGTTGAAAATCCGGATCTTGTCCCATATGCTGAATTCAGAAGATCTCCACACCGGTTTCAGGTTAATAAACGCCAGTCTCTCTTTCCCAGTCCTGGCTTTGACATCCTTGTCAATGCCACCTGTAGTTGAAATAGTGCTGCCTAGATAGTTGAAGAAGGCTACTTCCTTTAAGTTTCTCCCGTTGATTGTGATTGGAGTTTGTTGTTACTGTTATTGTTGGTTGGGTATCTTCATCAACTTTGTCTTCTTTACGTTCACTTGAAGTCCCGTCTTCGCTGCCCTGCCCTGCCTCTTCTGCCAACTTGTTAGTCTTCGCCTGTAGATCTTCAAGTTTGTGTGACATCAGACACAAGTCATCGGCAAAATCCAAATCTTCTAGGTTCTTTTCTGCGGTCCAGCCTATCCCCCACTAAGCTATATTGATTATAATATTTACAATAGATCATACAGTTCTAAAATATACATTACTCCGATTAGTCACCAGAAGCTGCTTGTTACCTTTGTCAATTTCTAAGTGCTGGATAGTCTAGCTAGTGAAAATCTTCAGTCACTAATCACCTTGTTAGTTAGCATCAGTGCGTAAGATACTTAGCTCGTAAAGAGTTTTCTGATGGTAAATCCCACGTATTTAAGACTAAAAAATCATGTTAAAGTGTACAAAATTACCAGTTTTTACCTATGAAGTCAAATACATTTGCAATGCGAAACAATTATCTGTACTTGAACTAAAACAACTGCTTAATGATAGACCTTTAAGCTTTGACAAATGAAAAATTCTGTTATACTATTGAAGCCTATTAACGACTTATCTTTTCAAATACCAATCCAAATCATCAGAAATTTGAAATTTTTGTCACATAAGTTGTAAAAAGTTGTAAAAAGAAGAATGTAATTTAGTTATATTTGCCTCGAAATCAAAGCTTTTCCGAATTCAGGATCAGTTTACTGAACATAAAATGGTATTAGTGACAAAGAAATCCAATTTCCACTTGGAATTTACAGCCATGAATATTCCTAAGCAACTTTATTTGTGATACAACATTTCATATTCAACGGGTGATGACTTTGTACTTAATTTTTACATTATACTGTTAAACTGTTTCTGCAATTGATACACATAATTTAGTTGTTCTAAAAAGGTTTTATCTTTTAACAGTGTAATGGAAAGCTTTTTAATGTTCAACTTCAGCTTATGAAAAACCCTATCTGAACAAGATGAAATGACTTTTAGTGAGCAAGAAATAAAACCAAAGGTCATTTGAATAACGGCTAGTCAGTTACCTGGTTTTCAACTTCCAGAATGGTCAAAATTCAATGCCATTTTGAAGATATAGAAGGTAATAGGGCAGCCACTTGACGATAGTTTGTAGGATACCAAGTCTTGATCAAGAAATGCTTACATGTGTGTCTTTTCATTGAAAAACTACATATTATCTCACAGATGTAGCAAAGAATATTTATGGCTTTAAGTAATGATCTTAAGTTACGCAACTAAATGAAACTAAAACAAATCCTCTGTGAAAACTAGATCTTCAAAGTGAATTGGCCGTCATTTTCATGATGCAAGTTTAAAGTATATAGTGCACAAATGAAATCACTTACTTATATCCAGCTTTCTCTTGAAGCAACGCTAAATTTTCCTGGAATTCTCGACAAGCTTTAGTTTTATACAAGTGAGTCAATTCACGGTAAACACACTGCCTTTTAAAGGAAGAAAAAGCAGAAATAGTCTGTGAAGGAGCAATTTTTAAACAAGAAAGCCAATAACTATGCAATGAAACACTGGTAATTTCATTTCTTTGGAGGAAAGGCCTTACATAACTAGATTTCACATATGTTTGAACATACTTCAGTCCAGCAGTATCAACAAACCAAATGTACTGTTTTGTTGCCCATTTGGCTGTACTGGCTTGTATTTAGTATACTTTAAACACACTCCTAAATCTTCTTCATGCTACATGGTTTTTTTCGGTAGGCTCATACATACCTCAGTCCTCCACTTTCACTATCGATCTTTCATAGTCAGCAAAATAATGTGAAACAGTCAATCATTTGACTAATCGAAAGACTGAATTTTAAAGCATGCACCGCAGTTAATCATTTCGACTAACTTGAAGTCGTGATGTGACCGTAAAAGGTGAGCATTACCAACACAAAACACTATGTTCATGTTATTTCGGGTTATGTTAGTTAAAAATGATGCAGAATGTCTAATATTCATTGAAACACTTCTATATTCTACCAATGTGACAGTTCATATGACTTAGTGAGCATTTTATTTGATTGCAAGGAATTTGTAACTCGGACCACTTCCTAACAAATCGTGCATAGAGTATGCAGAATTACAAATATAATTTCAAAGTATCGAAACGATGTAAGTAAAGGATTCTAGCTGTTACTTTCGCATATAGACTTTACTTCTCATTATTGGTTATCATAATTAGATAAATCTATAATTTTCAAGGTTCATTTGAATTGTTGATCGAAAAACTTGAGTGCTCTTCTTACCATGTTTTCTTCTCCGATTCTGTATACTGAATGGTCGGTATCCTGTCACCCCTAATAATAAAAAAGAAAATTCAGGGTTTCATACAATAAAACAGAATGAAATTTACGACTGATTATTGCAAACAAACTAAAAATATAGTAAAATCACATATTCTGAATTATATAGAATTATCGCAAATTATGTTTTTAGCCACTATACCGTTCATTTTATTCTGTTGTGATAAATCTTTGCGAATGTTAGTCGTTTTTACAAATATCTTCTTAACCTCCAAACTTAGAAGTAACATAAAGTTGAGAGCCTTTTTACTGTAGCAGGTACCTTGCGAAATTGTTACAAACCTGTACTCTATTAAAATAGGCTCGAATATTAGGTTTCTGATACTCATGAATAGAAGAACTATATTACATCGGATAATAACGTCTACTATAGTCTGAAAATGGTCAAGTAATAAATGAAGATTCAGCTTTAAAGGGCAATAATAGCACCCTACTGCGAAGTGTTTCAGAGTTGTCCACCCATCACACCTATTAAGAGTCGAATAAGAATTTTCAAAGCCTTAAGAGTATTGAAATAAACGCAAGTATTTTTAAAATGTCTACATGAAGCCGATTTCACATAAAAGAGAAACACATCAGACTTCACCTCAAAAAAAGAAGAGGAATCGAAAAATAATCGTGAAAAGCATTTACTATTTGGGAGAAATATAAGTTAAAACATTTTGCTCAACTCACCATCTATATTTGAACGCTACATCAGCAAACATTATTCGACGTTTCCTGTATTCGGCATCTTTGAAGCCCTGAAACGTGAATAATCCAATTTAATCAAAGAAGTGATTTTTGAAAATTGAATCATTTGACAGAAAGCTTTTTTGAAACTATGCTTTATCAATCCAAATTGCTGACATCCGTTTGTCGATTGATGATTTGATAATGAAGTAATTCCCTATAGATTCCAGTCATGAAAGTATCCTACTGTTTAATATTTTATACTTATTTCTAGAGAAATCTTATTTGATCTTTGAAACAGAATCTCCCATTCACCAAACTGGTACATATAAATTAATTTCTCTTCCTGAAAGATATTTACAGTCTATCTGATATCTTGATTTTAGTTCATTTGCTTTGAAAGTGAACCATATGACAGTCTTATTCACTGCTGAGACAACTTAGTATAAATAAGGGAAACAACTTCAATTTTATGGAGCATTGAGGTAATTTTCTTCGTACAGGGATATAAAATTAAGTCACTGTAGACTTAGTAAGATTGACCAGTTGCTGCATTCTAACCAAAGACTTTTCAGCAGCACACACTTGTTATGTGACAAAGTATCAAGGGAAGATATTCGAACCTTGCAGCTGCCATTTAAACTTTTAGTCACTGAGTCAGAGTCTGTTGATCTACATCAAATGATCCGGGTTTTCCTACTTCTGTCAGTTAGCGATATTGAAAGTAAATCACCATCCAGTGTACCTCATTGACTTGCTTCGAGATGTGGTTTTCCGTAGTTTTAATAAGAACTCATGATCGCTGAAACGAACCAAGTCGGGTGTGAAGACAAATAATCAATGATGGAGTTGGATAGAGGTCATGCTGTCTAGCGAATTGGTCATAATTATTACTTGTCCGTTGGGTTCCTAGTGGGACATAGGACTTCAGTAGCACGTCTCCATTGCACTCTCTTCTTTGCAGTCCTCTAAACCTGGCTCCACGACAGCCCAGAAGCTTTCATTCCTTCACCACACGATCTCCTCCATGTCACCCTCGGACGCCCAACTCGCGCCCTGGCTTTGACGTCCTCATCTATGCCGCCGCTTGTAGTTGGAACGATTCTGCCTAGGTAGTTAGGAAGGTGAAGGAGACAACTTCATTTAGGTTTCTCCCGTTAGTGATGATTGGTGCTTGTTGTTGATGCTGTTGTTGGTTGGGTATCATCATCAAATCTGTCTACTATACGTTCACCTGAAATTCCGTCTTCGCCACCTCTCCTCTTCTGCCGACTTGTAACTTTTCTCCTGTAGATCTTCGAGTTTGTGCGACATTAAACATAATTCCTCAGCGTCGGCGAAATACAAATCTGCTTCTGAGGTCTCTTCATCGGTCCAGCCAGCATATGCCCATCTTCTCGCTCCTCACAGTTGTCTATTGCATGATCCAGTCCAGTCGAACACAATCAGGAAGATCATTGGTGATAGTAGGCAGCCTTATCTTACTCCTGTCTTCGCTTCAAAGGCATCACTGAGCTTCCCATTGTGGATCACTCGGCATGTAGCGTCATACAGCATATATTGCTGTTGAATGAGGTTGATAAATATTTGTGTCACTAAAACCGCAGTGTTGAAGCAGCTGCCAAATTACTGCTCGGTCGACGCTGTCGAAGGCCTTTTCAAAGTCGATGAAGTTGAGGTAAAGATCCAGTTGACTGCCATTCTATACTCTCTTCTCTATGATGATGCGTAGCGCACTGTTGCAATTCGATCCACACATGATTTGTTCTTCCTGAAGCCAGCCAGCCAGCCAGTTAGCCAGCCTGTTCTCGTCGCAGTTTTGAATCCAACACATCCTTCAGCCTCTCCAGGATGATGTGGCACCATATTTTGCTTGGTGTGGGTGGACAGGAGGATGATTCCTCACCAGTTCTTGCAAAGTCTTAGACCTCTCTTCTTTGTGAGTTTGACAAGGTAGCCCTTCTTCCAATCAATAGGCAGGTACCTTTCCTTCCTCTTCCTCCCTTCCTTCCCGACCTTCTGCACTAGTGGTGTGAGCATGTCCACTGTTGTCTCTGCGTGTGTTTTCAGTGCTTCCTGCAGGACTCCATCTGGTCCTTCTGCTTTCCCGGATTTCAACAGTTTTATGGCATTCAGGACTTCTTCTTTTGTCGGAGGGTATTTCTGGATGAGTTGTAGGTGGTGGTGGTGGTGGTTGATTCAAGAGTTTTTTGAAGTCGTCAACCCATTGTTTCCTTTGTTTCTCCTCTTTGGTATCCAGGTTTTCTACACTGTCTTTCTTCACATTGAGATAGAATCGATCTGGTTTTTAGTGTAGTGTGTCCTGGTGTTTGGTGAAATCAATGTTGCTTTGTAAACACCTTTGTGTTTGTACACACTGTCTCCAATCACCAAAGCGTTGAATGCGCATAAGTCTGAAAACGGTTCTCTATTCTCTTTTATTTCACCGAGTGCCTCTCGACCCATGATTGGTTCTCTTTCTGTGTTGTCTTGCTCCTAGTTTGATGGCAGTTGGAAAAAGTGGACCGTTGAGTTCCGACTTAGTGACTTGGCGATAACGTGCACCTCTCAAAACGTGAAGGATCTGCATTTGGAGCCTGTCCAGGTCATGGCTGCACACTAATAAGCAGTCACATACTAATACGAAACAGCTGTCCAGTGCTCCCGGGTTTTCATTGGTTCTAAAGTGATATCAGTGTGCGATACATAGCACACTGGATTGCAATGGTCACCGGAAAAACTTCATGGGCATTCGAGCTGTGAGGCGATATATAAGAGATATGTCTCTTAATGTTTAAAGAAACAAGATTTAATACTAAATTCTTCCTTTTTTATCTCAGTGAAGAAATACCGAGCATATCTATCGTGTAAAACAGAAATGTGCAACTATTCTTTTAGTTCGTAACTTTCAGGAAACGTTTTTCCATCTTAACTCACAAAGACCACCTGAAGACGTACTAAGCTGTTTTTTAAAATGCTGAGAATAATCAGTAAAGAAAATTCCATCCAGTTTCTTAATTTTTACATATGAATTAGTGTCGTTTGTATGCAACAGTGATGAGAACCAATTTTCGTGGCAAATAGCAACCTGCTTCATTGAGCGGTGAAAGCAAACGTTTTCATGCTGAACTTTGCAGGTCAGGTACAGTCGCTGAAGCAGTGGGTAATGTAATAATGTTGCTTATTCAAAATGATAACTTAAGATAAAGGTAATCCTTTATTGTTAAAAGATTCTAATTTATGCTGACTTTGCTTTAAAAAGGACTCTGAAGGCCACCCTAGTAACCGCAGGAATAACATATTAAGTCTCTTTATTTCTTCTCATAAATTAATACACATAATTGGTTATTTCATTAGTTTCAAAAGTATCCCTAGAAGTTATTCCAGCTTCTTATATGATTCTGTAAAGGTTTGTGGTAAAAACATTCAGAAAATTGTGCGATTATTTTTACACATTTTACTTACAATTATCCCTTTCTATTTTACTATTTGGATTTATAAAATGACATAATTAGCAAGATTTTGGAGCCATTCGGAAGTTCGTTTTATATATTTTTGCTGGAAAGTAGTATAAATCTTGCGTTAAAAATACTGCGGAACAAAAATCACTTCAATCTTCTAAAGTATGAGTTACCTGAAATAAACTAAGTTTTGCTCACGAACATTCAGTACTAGCCTTCTTGTTTATTAAGTACACGCATGGTAAAAATATCGTTTTAGAACAGTGGCATTTCTAAGATTTAAAGAAGATAAGAAATGATCACGGTAAAAGTGAACATTTATTTTTCAGCTTAGTCTACTGAATTGGTTTAGAATCCTTGCTTGTTTGTACAAAAGTACCACTGGTGGAATTTTTAAAGTTATAATTATAAGAATGATCTTCTTTTGGAAATTGAAGCAGTAGGTGAGATCCATCTATCTTACAGAGTATAATTGTCATAAACAAGCATGAGAAATCTTTGGATTTCTTTTCTCACTGTGTTGGGGCTGTAGATGAAGCTCAGATTGACTATATATCCCCTGTTCAGAAAAGCAAAATTCGAATATTAACAAGACTATCAATTTTCCTAGAGTTGTAAAGTTTTTCACAATATTAATTTTCGCATAGTTGTTACGTCATCGTTTCATACATTAGTTTCAGCCACATGACATTCAGTGGAGGGTGAATGTGCATTGTAGTCTATTCTTATAACTTTCGTTGTATAATTTCTTTACGTAACTTACAAAATTAGAGGTCCGGTCAAATCTCATAGAAAGTAAAAATAACTTCCACTTTCAAAGCAAGATACATTACACTTTTATTGTATTGTATGCCACCATATAAAAATATCACTTACTGGATGATCACAGTCCAACTCCTTTCCATACATCAGAACACGATGCGAGACTTCATCTAATTCTGAGATATGTCTTGGGAACCATGGTACTTTCTGATCAATATTTGACAGTGGTTGGATTCCAGCTAAAATGATAGATATATTGAAAGACTTATCATCTATGCATTTCTTAAACTGATGTATACTAAACTAAGAGAATATGAAAAATGGTGTTCCGCAACTTCTAATGATAAGTATATTGCTGAAATTATGGTTCATTTTTTAAAATCAAACGACTTTTTCAGAAGTTTTTCTAGTGTCATACACCCGTGTCTCGACTACTGACTAATCAATACTATTTAATGACTTTTCAAACTTTGTTTATCCTACTCAGATAAGACTAATTACATTAACTCTGGGATAAAAAACCTTGAAAGCATTAAGTCACGTTTTGAACTGAACTGAAATGTTAGACGAACTACAACTAAATACGAGTGATGTATGTAAACAAAAAAACTAATACTTAAAAGCCATTAACAATGATGTGGATACATCTTGAGCTAAACTATGGTGCTTTAACCCTTAACTAGTTGCATATGATCAAGTTTAACTCACAAGATTGTAACATTTTACTTAAAGTAGTTAGGCTGACTGACCTGAATAAGCTCATACACAGTAGAAATGGTCAAATCTGACACCAATTGCAAAGTCCACGACTCAGAGTTGCAATCTATGAAAGTGACTGAATGATTTCAAACGAAGATTATAAGTACGCAAATATATCACAGTTTGAATCTCATCTAAATAATATAGTAGGTTTTTCACTGACAAAACAGTATTTTAGATAAATGGTCTCAACTGACATATATGCAGTCAGTAGTTATTAAAAGCAGACAGAAATATCAGCATAGCTTCATTCTTAGTATTACGGCCTTAATCGTAATTACCGTGAAAGTAAGAGGACTTAATTATAGTTACACCGTAGTAAAAATATGATAAATATACTGAGTTTTTTGTGACGAAATCCCCTACTTATGTATGTTTTACATGTTGAACGTTCTGAAACGATCTTTGTCATTTTGTCAGTAAAAAAGCCACTTACTAGTCTCTACTTTTGTGCATATAAGTAATATATTTAAGGTCAGTTTCAAGCATGGTCATTCGTATTCCTGAAGAAACTTTCCTGCTCTAACGAATAATGTAATTGAGTGCAGAAAGCATTTTTCTTCGGTTAGTGTTAAATATGGAAACCATTTGTCGTTTTTCTTTTTTTCACTTTCAAATGATTAAAAACAGACAGTTGGAATTCACGTTAATAGACTTATAGTGTTCGGTTGCCACTAGCAACCAATGCTATCTAACTTACCTAGTTTTGGATGATTATTAGCAACAATAACATTTGATGAAAATGATTTTAATTTTTCTATCAGTGTAGAAGACTCTTTAACAGGAACGGTAGCCTGAATGAATACCTCCAATGGTTCAAATTTCAAATGATTTCTCTCTGCATTCATTTCTAACTTTTTTCGCCGACTTTCAATGTGGAGGAGACTAGTATTCATGTCCTGAAAATTAATGAATTACAAAAGGGAAACAATAATTACTACATCAAGTAAATTCTCAGCAAGTTATACAGAAAACCTTGTTTACTGTCAACATATTGTCAGAAATATGCCAACAGTATTATAGTCATTACTGTAAGCATTACTTGATTATAGAGTTATTTTTGGAGTCGGGTTACCAGTAGGAGAGTTCAAACATATCAAACACATTGGTACTGAGTAATGATTGATGGAAACCACTGGTTCCAATCCTGCTGCTATTCAGATTTTCTTTTCTCTTCCAATCAATAGTGAGTATCAAGTCTGCCAAACCACAGCTATCTAAAAAATTCAAACTGATATGAAATGCAGTAAAATAAAGAGTGAATATTTCTTTCTTTTGTATTCGGAAGGCTTTTTATAACGGAACAAAGGAGACTTATACTATCTGCACATGTATTTTATGCCGCAAATCAACTCAGAACTCTTTTTAACTAATAAAATAGCACAACTATCACTCTAAGAAACTAGTCATTCTTATTTGTTAACTAATCATAGAATCTCTGATACCAATCTTTCGTTTTTAGTAAGAAAGCTGAATTTTTTGATTAATCATACTGCATAACGCACAGAAATACTATTTAGCATGGATTGATTCGAGTTTTTTCACAGCAGATATGTATGTATATCTCCAAACGTTTATTGGCTGTTCAAATTCATTATATTTACTCAATCTTCTTAGTTTATTTGTGCACTTGCATTTTTATTCGATTGCATTTAAAAGTGACCAGCAGTTGCGGTTGTATGTAATCTCCGTTCCTGATGTTACTCATCATTTATTTCTCTACAGAATGTTTTGCTGAAGTTATTTTCAAACCCTAATCACTTAAACCCCTAATCAGACATCTTAATTATCAGCCCTTTAAGCAGCAGGGGACTTTTTAACGAGTACCATTCATACACTGATGACAAAACACCTGATAACCGGTCTATTGAACAACAAATCCAAAATCATATCAAATCGGTAAAATTGTTAAGGTGAGGTAAAAGATGTTCTAGTGTTTTGTACTGGTTGTTGGATTTTTTGGAGTGCTAAATATGAGCGAAAGAATCCGACTAAATTTGAGGAAGAGATGATGACGTTACTTTTCAGTTAGAAGCAAATTCACATCCAATTTTTCCTGTCTATGACAAATTCCGTTTCTTTAAACTTGTGACACTGTTATCAGAATATTAAAGGATGACAGCTGTCTTCAGAGTAGTATATTGTCTCTACTCAGACACAATTGCATCTTCTAAAATAGATCATTACTGCCGTTGGATGAACACTTTATAGGCTGTTTAAAGGACAAAGTAGAAATATCTTTTTTTACCGGAAAGTTATCATCTCACTTCAGCTTTTTTGATACAGATAATAGTAATAAAAACAAAGATGCATGGCTATCAGACGTAAAGTGACTTAAAATTAACCTTTATTATAACTGCCCCGAGCAATGCAATCGGAACATTCACTGCAACAATGCATTTCTTATGGTCTTAGTGGGTTGGAAACAAGTAGAAGACTCGGTATCTAGGTTTCGAATTTATAATCACTTGTCAGTTAGGTTTATCTGTATCCTCAATGATACTGACGTCTCTCAGAATTATGAACTCATGTCACCTCGTTCTATAGTCCGGAAAGTTACCATTGTGCTATTCAGGCCACAATCAACCTACTAGAAATGAACCAGTCTTGTACTGTTCACTCCTATGTGCCCAGCGAATCCCACCAATCACTCTTAAGGTCCTTGACTGCCACACTAATAGAAGTGGATACAGATCTCTCAGGGAACATCAGTTCCTTTGAGGTTGTAGATACGACTTACTGATGAGTGTCAAAAGTCACGAAACCTGATTTTAGAGCTTCCTACCGACTCCCACCAACCATCTAACATCAAGTAAAATGTTGTGTGATACTGACTCTCTTATCTTGTTGTTCGTACTACAGAATGGTAAATAAAATTCAGTCAGCATTTTAGACTCGACAACATGAAGTGTGCTACACCTCACTGAGCAGTCAATTTATTTATCATGATTGTAAATAAGGCTTGTCGATAAATTTTACGAAGTTTCACAAAAAATCATAAGTACTTGAGCAGGTTAACATTTGTAAACTAGTTTTTTCGCTGTCCAAACTATCCAGTAGTAATAATAATAGTAACAATGATAATTATTGTCATTTATTGATATTCTATTCCTTAAAAATAGCCACTACCTGTTGTACAAGAGGTGGATATCATACCTCGACGGTCTGGTGCATAACTTTTTGGGAAGTTAAACGATGGGTATGAGGTCCGAATCTCAGTAGGGACAACACTCACTGAGATGTAGGTACATCCAGCTAACGAACCTCAAATAGGGCGTGGTACACGTTCTAGACTTCTCCGCTAGTCACAGTTATAAGAGTAATAATTCTTAACAGATATATTTTCTTGAGATATTTCAGGAATATATAGAACTTGTAGAATGAAATTGACTAGAACAATACTTATAAAGACGCATCTTACAACAACTCAAGATTACATCAGTTGAAAAACATACAACTTTTCGAGTGAAAATTAACTTTTCTTAACCTTGATACTGAGTTCAGTTATAAAAAATAGGAAATCACTACAAGTTACTTACAATGAAAATATTCATCAGTGACTTTATATCCTTAATATTCTCCTCGACTGGTATAATAAAATTCATTTCCTGCATATTGTGGCTTGGTTTGCCAATATCGGTTGTGTGATGAATTGCCTCTTTTAACAGTGTTTCAGACTCAGGGCTTGCTTGTTCATTCGGTTGTTTTTGTAAGAAACATACTTCAGACATGGTATCAGTTTGCTCCTTTACTTGAAATTTGAAATGTCTGTGGATAAATTAAAAGGATGTATAGATTAGTAATTATTATATATTAAAATTTGTCGGAGTAACATTACTAAACTGTTGGCACTATTTGCAATCGAATTCTAGATGTTGGAATATGACTGTCTTGGTGTTAAATACCACCAAAATTTATTTTCTTTGGTAGCGTGTATTGCCTTTTATAATCAAAAAATAATAAGTAAACAGTGTCCAGAAAATAGGATGCATAATTTACACTTCTTCTACAAAAGAAAGAATTAAGGAAATTGAGAAATGTACTATATCCATGAGTGCATGAAGAGATACATTTCAGATTTTGTTCCTCAATTTTGCACATTAAATAGAGTAACTATAATTAAACATTTCCAGCAATAATTTGAAAATGTTTGCAATAAATAATTACATAAGTTGCAAATATAAAGCCTCTAGTAAGGGTGGTTTTTATGTCTTAAAATATCTTTAATTCATGGATGCATGAAATATAGTATAAATTTCTTAATCGGAACTTTTCTAAGCAGAAGTATCTTAGTCCAAAAGATAGAGAATTTCAGTGTATTTTACTGTGATGATGCAGATGCACAATTTACACTTATTATTAATCACTGGAGGATAACCAACTTCGTTCTCTGTAGTCGTAAATGCTTGACAAATTCTGCCGATCATTTTGCAGTATGGTCAGCAAGTTTGAAGACTCACCATCGTGATTCACTGGGACAGATGTTAACTGGATGTAGGCAGTCTACAGGGCTTCCTTTCGATTGCCTCAACCCAGCTAACAAGTATACTAAATACCTTTAGGTACACAACCCACATGATAAAGTTTTTGTTACAAACTATTGCGCCGATATTTTTGATCAACATTAATCTATAGGTGGATAAGAGAGTCCAATTTGTTAACAGCTATGTAAGTAAGTATAATAAGATTTTCGATAACAGTCACAAACGAACACCTATTTCTAGGAGTAATTTCTTCAGAGTGGTTCTTTAAAAAACGATATGAAGGTTAATTATCATTCATTGGGTGACCAAGGGATTGCCTTTTTCATTATAGATCAACTTCATTTATATTCTTTTACCACTTCGCGTGACTGTTAGTAAGATGGAGGTAAGGCAACACTGAAACGGTTGTTTTCTCAAGATTTTTCTTCATCATTTGAGATGTCGATACCAGTATCATGCGCTGGTGCTTGGAATGTTCTTTTCTACGAAACAGTGTTATTTTTATACTCATAAGGCTTTATCTAATATGCTGCTACTAAGTTATGGACAAGCACAATGAAAACTGGGCTTTTTCTCAACTGTTTTGACAATTATTGTGTCTCCAAATTACCTTAGTGAATGGCGAAATTGCACTAAGTCTTGTTAAAACATGCAGTTATAAGTTTCAGAACAGTTGTGTCATTTAGATGTGAAGGGAGAGAATAGTTCAGGCTGTTATGTAATATAGACTGGTGATTGCTCATAGAATAAATTTACTACCCAGTATATTTAACAACGCTTTTTCATTCATAACGGTTCAGCAAAGTACAATTTCCGGTCGTTCGAGAGAAATGTAACACAAAACAGAGATATATAATAAATTTTCTTACAATAAATCAAAGAATAGAACACCGAAGAACTATAAAAACTAAGTCGGGAAGTAAGGCAAATTTAGCAAATCTAAGGCAACACATTTTGCAAAATACAATGAAACCATCATATTTCGTTTTCTCTTTTTCAGTTGCGTACATGTTACAAGTCCTTCCATAATGTTATATGCATTTTTGTATTTTCATTCTCTTTTCCAACTGATTTGCCATTCGATTCCTATTTCATCTGCACCATTCTTACTATCTGACGCAGACCGACTTTACCTAGACCTATGCAAAAGTTTTAATTTATATGTACATTAGTGACTTACGCAGCCTTTTCCAATCTATTTTTATTGTTTGTACGGAGTAAAATGATAATCTAACTTCATGTTAATATAGGGTAGCTTCGATATTAGTAGTAAATTATTTCATTTGAACTTCCTTAATCTGTATCGATTCTTTTATTAACTGTCAACAACGGATTATCATCCTGTTGATAAGTAAGGCATGTAGAATTCATTCGTCTGCATATATATCTTATGATTATGTACCCTGTACGCAGTTGAAAAGAAGGCTGCAAAAAACAATGAGTTCGTCGTATTCTGAAAATTGTTTCGTTCTAGCTTAACTGAAGATTCTGAAAGGAACTAATTGTATGAAGGATTATGTGACTACTAGAGGTTGTTATAAGCTGTGTGTATGAAGCACCATCTGGTAAATGATACTCTATCGCTGTTTACTGCATCTAATAAACCAATAGAATGTGAATCTTTCACGATTGTATGCGTTTCCAGTAACATCATGTTCGAACAAGTTATTCAGCGAATTATCACATCTAACATATAATTTATGAGAGTAATTAAAGTCATAGAATTCGAAAAAGGGGTCTGTATTCTAGTGTTTAAATATATATAAATTTCCTCTTAGAAGGGGTTGAGGATTAAAAGGCTATACGATGGGATTCGTCATGGATGATATCAGTTGCAGAAGCGTTGAAAACCTGGGAGCTTATTGGTTTTCACTGTTTCTATGTTTATCAGTTCGTGATGACTACCACCTTGAGATACATAGCTTGACCACTGAGAAAACTTTAAAAGTCAAAGATATTGCTTATACACTTGACAGAGTTTATTGGCAAAGTCAATTTTGTTTCACAACAGAAAATTCTAAGACCGTCTCATCATTTTACTCTGAAACTGCTACGCAGAAAGATAAGTTAGTCGACGACAAGCAACTTAGATCTGTTATATTACTGGAATATTCTTCGGAGATCAGAAGCATACGAGTTTTTAAATGGAAGTTAGCGGCTGCGTATTCACCTCTGATTTATTTTAAGACACAAAGATAACTTCTTTTTGAAAAACAATAAGTAAACTAATAGTAAGTAGGAGAACTTATTACTAAGAAATGAAGCAGACATCAAGAATTTCTATGCAGTAAAACTCTGTCTCTGAAAAACTATTACTGAAGAAGATTGATTTTAAGTTTATTAAAACTACTGATAAGTTGGACTTTATGAGAGTACCAGTGAATGTGGTAAATACAGGGGAATAAAAGCAGCTTGCAGATGGTTTCTGAAGCTAGACCAGTCATCTAATCTAATGAAGTGAATAGGGATTGTAAATTATGATATATGAACCCAAGAATGTCATGAAGAATCTTAAGGCCTCACGGTTGAGCCATAAAAAGAATAATGTTTTTAAATAATGATAGTGTACATATGAATACGGAAGTTTGAAAAGTCTGTTAGATAATTGGTTTTTAGTTATGAATAACAGTGTTGATAATAGTTATAATAATTGTAATTATGATTCATGACGAATATTTATACCTTCAGACAAACAATGTATTCTTAAGCAACCCTTGTTATATATATATATATATGGTAGGCCTCTTGTTTAAAATTACTTAACTAAACCTTGTATAAAGAATCAAGTTGAATGAAGACGAAAAATGTACAATTGGGCCAACTTCAGTGTGTGTTTATCAGTTCAACTGCTCCTGAGGAGTCAGATATTTAGGTAGTTCGATGTGCATTCTTTTCAAACTAGTTGGAGAAAATTACTTTACCTGGCTGCAAACAGGTGCAGGTAGACCCATCAGTAGGGGAATAGTTAAACATCTTATCAACACCGGTGACTACACTACAACTGATTCAGCGTTGCAGTTATCTACAAGATGAAGAAAATTTCGCAAAACATGGAGCGTTTCCACCTTCCAAATACTGCAGAAGCTCTCGCAATACGGATTGAGGAACTGGAATAATGTATACGAAAAAAACTTGTTCAAAATGTGTTGCTACCTTGAACTTAGTAAATTGCTAAAAACTCACCAACCTCTATCCTACTCTGAATAATCACAATTTTGTTATGTTTTATGACATAATTTAATAACTCATTATCTTCATTTTGTTTGCATAATACCCTTGGTCATGCCTAATAGTGAAAATTATCTTTACATATTACGCAACTTTATACCCTCTACGCTTAGTTATGTTGGTTTCTATGCTCTTTTGTGAATAATTTTCACCCCACATCATACTTGTATGCATAACAATATCGACGGTTTTCATCTATATCAGCCAGATCACTTCATATCAGTCAGAGTCAGCTCTTTAGTAAAAGATTTTCGTTCAGCTACAGTGAAGAGTATAGTGATATAACAAGATATCTTTCAATTTTCAAATCTTTTCAAAACTACTGGCATGAAATTTATTTTCTAGCACTCAAATTTAACACTAAACTTGACTTTTCAGTAATAAATTTAGTCACTTTACGAAAATTCTTTAGTATTATTTCAAAATGAAGTGCATTCAAGCTACCTCACGTGATGATTTGTCAGAATAAACTTTACCAGATCAGATTTGAACAAGCAGTTTCAGTTAAAAAAAATTATACTGCGTTTGACATGAGTTTATTAAAAGACAAACTTGGAGTGCAATAAACCAACCATAGTCCTAACAAACTGTATGAAAAATACTTATCACTGTCTTGCGGGAAAAATAATCGTTACATGCTCATATAGTTATCTTATCAGGCTAAATACTTACCACTGAAAATACATAAGCAGATTAGATAACAGCATGTATCACAAGCACAGCCGACTGACATTTTTATACAATTCGGTGAGCGTCATCATATTTCATGATCCAAAATTATCCAATTAGATTTAAAATCGATACACTTCTGGTTATCTTCCAAAAAAATATAGAAACGCATGTAAATATGAAATTTGTTTGTAACAAAAGGGAGGTGTATACTCAGTTTAGAGATTAGTTAAACACATTTTGATATAAGGCAAGAATAAAAATAAGCATTAGCCACCAATCGCTGTCATCAAAAGAAAACAAAAATATATAAAATGTTTAATGAGATTCAAGTACAGAAGGATGATAAT